CGAATGCACTGATCTTTTGCTTCTTGACATGAGAGCAGTTTACCAGCGGAGTGAAGAAAACACATGAAACTCACGGGACTCACTCCTCAGTTTATACTGTGTTTTGTTTCAATTAAAGGGGACCTATCATGCAAAATGCACTTTTGTACGTCTTTTATACATGAATATGTGTCCCTGGTGTTCCAGGGAACTCACCAAGTGTCAGAAAACACAACCGTCTCTATTTTCCTCCATACCCAAATCTCTAAAAAAGGGGCTGCAACGGATCTGATAAAAACTGATCCAGATTTGAACACTGTCCTGACGTCAGGACGGTGGCACTACGGCTATTGGGCCAACTCCACCAATCAGGAGGAGACAGCCACGGCCATTGCCGTTCGAAAGCGCTGGAGACGCTGTAGTACATATGCCAGGCCTGTAAGTGGCGCTGTAGTCTGCCACAAAAGCAGCGAAGAAGACTTGGTTAACATGGTTACCCTTCTGTTTATTCTCCGCGGTGGCTTTCTTTCTCCCTCCCCGAGGCAAGCGTTTGCTCCTGCTGCTTTAATTCAATGCAATCCCTCCCCGTCGAGGCAAGCACTGTAATTCTCTCCGGTTAGTCCACCAGCAGATGACAAACACCCACCTCTCCGCCTCTTCCAAGGAACGAGGGGACCGTGCGGCAGAGTTTCAGTTTCAGTTTCTTTCACCGGTCAAGATGTCCGTTAAAGTTTAAATCTTCCGGACAAAATTAGAAAAGTGCCGGTCAAAGGTCTTCTTTGTTATTTATTGAGCTTTAAAACAAATGAATAACGACTCTATATAGGCTATAATATTTTATTTTTTAATAATTTTCTCCCCCTCTTCTGACAGCCCAGCAGCTGATCAGAGCACGTCTCACCTCTCCTGCAGGGGGGCGTGGTCAGCTGCAGCTCACACAATCAGACCCGTAGACAGCAAACAGCACATAGAGCGAAATGAGGCATGGCTAAAATGCATGACCTGTTTGGTATTTTGAAAACAGAAACGTATAAATATACCTTATATAGGTATGGCCCTACAATATATCATTTAAATATAGCATGATAGGTTTCCTTTAATGTATCATTCAGTTACAAATATGTGATATATCTGAACAACAAAGTGGGCAAAAATTATTTTATTCATTTATTGGAAACATTTTCATGATCGCTTTTTCGTTTTACATTTTCATTTATTGTCATTTCCATTCAGTCAGTCATTAAGTGCTATTTAAAATGTTAATTTGCTACATATCCACACAAACAAACTAAGTGTGCAATCCAATGAATGTTAATCTAACTGGGTTTTGATAGATAACATATCTCTTTTTCTTCTCTGAATTATTTTATTTCTATTGTGCACTCTAATCAATATTAATCTAACTATTGTTCGTTTATACATTTTAAGAATGGCGTTTATCTTTTTTGAGAATGAGTTCTTATTTTATTTAATGTATTTGGGTCTACAACAGATGATACAAATGTTTGTGTCAGTAAATGTGTTGGCCTACTAACAGAGGCGGGGGTGTTTGTGAAAATAACGGGGACAGAGCTGCTGTCAGACGAACAGCTGTGCGGCGTCATCACAAACGGACGTCGCTTCACGTGATGCTCCGGAGGAAAGGACGTCCCATTGCTCTTAAAACTCATTTCCCTGCTTCTCGTGGTTTCCTTGCGTCTCTCCATGCTTCCCTGGTGGGAGGGACTAGTCGCAGGGAAACGACGCAAGTGAGGGACGCAAGGATTCCATTTAATCGACCTGAGAAGCAGCCAGAGACGTCCTTCAACATGGCGTGTCTTGATCGATTTCCGGGTCAAGTCCCGGAGGAGGGGAAGAGAGGAGTCGAGGAGGGGTATTGAGATGAACCTAGTGGCGAGCTGTGACTTTTATACCTTCAAGTGCATTATTCTGGCACAGGAAGATTATGTTATAGGACATTAACGATAAAACAGAATATTGTTCTATTTTTAGACACATCTCGCGAATCGACTGGGAATCTCCCCCCCGGTCGATCGCGATCGACTGGTTGGGCACCCCTGCTCTATACACATGCATAAACTTCACAGCGGGCGGAACTTGTCATAAAGTCCGCGAAAATAAAGCCCACCCATTTAGAGGGAAGATATGATTGGTCAATTGTACTGTCATTTGACATTACTCTCTCGTTCAGTTACTATAGCTGGCCCTCTGTGAATTTACAGCTGGACCACCAATCAGCTCCTATCTTCACAGTGGGTGTTTCTCTGGGTGTTTCTCAATCGCGAGTAAAGCTGCTTCAGAGCCACTATTTCAAGCATACTACGTCATCGAGTGCCGCCGAAGTACTGTTCCAATCTCCAGCATACTTGGAAATCTACCGAGCCCGGCGTACTCCGTTTGGAGAAATATCGAGTCTGCACATGAGTAGACTCCGCGGTCTTAAAATCCCCACAATGCTTTGCGCACGGACCAATTTCCCCAAATCTGTGGCGGAAGATGTAAGGCGGGGCCTCTCATATGACGCACACCTGCACACTTGCTAGCGTGTTCCACTCTTCGTTTTCCGAATGCCAGGAAGGATTCTTGCCTCGCTTCTGAAGCAAGATGCTCGGCAGACATGTGCTACCAAGCAATCGTACTCGCGATTGAGAAACACCCTCAATGTCGAGTAAAGCTGCTGCAGAGCCACTATTTCAAGCATACTACGTCATCGAGTGCCGCCGAAGGACTGTTCCAATGTCCAGCATACTTGGAATTCTACCGAGCCCGGCGTACTTCGTAGCGAGAAATTTCGAGGCTGCACATGTGTAGACTCCGCGGTCTTAAAATCCCCACAATGCTTTGCGCACGGACCAATTTCCCCAAATCTTAGGCGGAAGATGTAAGGCGGGGCCTCTCATATGACGCACACCTGCACACTTGCTTGCCTGTTCCACTCTTCGTTTTCCGAATGCCAGGAAGTATTCTTGCCTAGCTTCTGAAGCAAGTGACTCGGAAGACATGTGCTACCAAGCAAGCGTACTCGACATTGAGAAACACCCAGAAACTTGCAGAGACGGCTAAAGGAGCTTCTTTCATTTAACCCTTCACATTCCAACAGAAACTGAACAGGCAGATTCGAAGGATTTATTTATTTTGAAATGTTATTTTAAATACAATTAAATCAAGTTATTTTGGTAAAACTAATGAAAAATATAACTACAAAAATATTTTAAAAATCAATCAGCAGGCATCTGCTTATATTGGCCAGCAGAGGTCGATGAGCACATGGACACATCAAACTGATCCAGAAATATAAAATATGCTATATCTAATGCACTGTTTGGTGGGAGATTTTATCTAAAGTGCTTTACACTGAATGCATACAGTACTTATATGGTGCTTTTCTAATTACTTATTTCATGAAAAGGGTGTGTTTCTCTCCTGATGTTGATGGTGATGAATTAATGAAAAAAATGATGTAAAATTAGTAATAGCTGGGAGTGTATTTTTCCAACAACAGGTCATATAGACAGGTGCCCCAGTCCTCTCGTTGTTTGCATCTGGGTGCTTTGACTCACCAGATAAGGCAGATTCAAGTGGACACGCAAGTCCTGGAACCATAACAAACGGAGGGTTGGTATACGCAGACAGCACCCTCCTGCAGGGGCTGATAAGAGCCTGGATATCACCAGGGGCTCGAGAGAGACGAGAGAGAGAGAGAGAGTGAGAAGAGAGAGAGAGAGAGAGAGAGAGCGAGCACGAGCGCGAGCAGAGAGGAGAGAGGATGAGAGAGAGTAGATAGAGAGAGAGAGGAGAAGATGAGACGAGAGAGAGAGGAGGAGAAGAGCGAGAGAGAGAGAGAGAGAGAGAGAGAGAGAGAGAGAGAGAGAGAGAGAGAGAGAGGGCGATCTCTCTCTCTCTCTCTCTCTCTCTCTCTCTCTCTCTCTCTCTCTCTCTCCTCTCTCTCTCTCTCTCTCTCTCTCTCTTCCTCTCTCTCTCTCTCTCTCTCTCTCTCTCTCTCTCTCTCTCTCTCTCACACACTCACACACACACATACACATACACATACACATACACACTGATGAGGTGTAGGGTGAAGGCCGGAATAGTTGCTATGATCATGCTCTGATCTTTTGTGGCTCAGGATGGTCTTCCACCAATCAAAAGGTCGGTGGTTTGATCCCAAGTCCCTGCAGTCAATATGTTGAAGTGTCCTTGGGTAAGAAACTGAACATGAAATTGCTTCCAATGGCTGACGGTTTGTGAGTATAGTCTCCATGAGCAGGTGCAGCCCCTGTCTCTGTATGAATGTGTGTGTTCTGACTTGTATATCTAAAGTGCTTTAAAGTTATACATGCAGTCCATTTAACATTTATAACCATTGTCAACATTATTATTGTCAGTCATATACTCAGACTATTTAGTTAAAACATGACATTTATTATGTTATTATTTAGGGCGTGCTGCCCCCTTCTGGTCAATCCGAGGCTCTACCAACACACACATACACCCACACCGGACTCGTTTTTTTCTCAAATGTCACATCAAAGAAGAACATTGAGTGGTATTCAGTGTGATTTTAAATATTGTTCACATTTTAGATCAACATAACAAAGAGTAAAGCTGTATCTGAAAATGAAAGGAAACAACTAATCTGCTGACAAACTAGCAGTCCTCATGGAGGCATATTCCAAGTTTCAAGGCTTTTATTGTCATGTGTAGTTATGACAATGAAAATCTTAGTTCACAGGCTCCTCCAACAGTGCAACACAATAAAACAGATAAGATAGTACAAGTAAATAAAATAGAATATAATGGAAACAGAATATGATAGAAACTGTGCAGAATAGTCTTTATACAGTAATTGGAATATTGATATATATGATGTGAGTTGCAAACAGATGAATGTTATGTATGTTCTTTCAAAGTTCAGGTGTTGGCCTGTGGGATGAAACTGTCCCTGAGTCTGGTGGTTTTAGTCCTGATGCTACGGTACCGCCTGCCAGACGGCAGCAGACAGAACAGTATGAAACAAAATGTGGCTTTGCCAAAAGGAACCATTTATTTAAATTGTTTATTTTCCACATTTGCATGTCCTTGTCAGTTTTTCTCAGAGGGGCCGAACAGTGAGGGTGAGGTCAGCCCCCCGCTGTGGGATGATGTAGCGCTCCTCCCTGAGCAGGCGCAGCAGCAGGTCCTGTGTGTCCTGAGGCCAGCGGTAGATCCTGGTGCTCTGCAGCCAGCTGGGGACATGTCCCTGTCACACAAACACAGAGACACAAACACACAGACACACAGACACACACAAACACAGAGACACAAACACACAGACACACAGTCACACATAGACACAAACACACAGTCACACAGACACACACAAACACAGAGACACAAACACACAGACACACAGTCACACATAGACACAAACACACAGTCACACAGACACACACAAACACAGAGACACAAACACACAGACACACAGTCACACATAGACACAAACACACAGTCACACAGACACACACAAACACAAACACACAGTCACACAGACACACATAGACACAAACACACAGACACACACAAACACAAACACACAGTCACACAGACACACACAAACACAGAGACACAAACACACAGACACACAGTCACACATAGACACAAACACACAGTCACGCAGACACACACAAACACAAACACACAGTCACACAGACACACAAACACACAGTCACACAGTCACACACAAACACATAGACACAAACACACAGTCACACAGACACACATACACACAGACACACAGACACATAAACACACAGTCACACAGTCACACAGACACACAGTCACACAGACACACAGACACATAAACACACAGTCACACAGTCACACAGACACACAGACACACAGAGACACAAACACACAGACACATAAACACACAGTCACAGTCACACAGACACACAAACACACAAACACACAGTCACACAGACACATAAACACACAGACACACAGACACATAAACACACAGTCACACAGTCACACAGACACACAGACACACAGACACATAAACACACAGTCACACAGACACACAAACACACAGTCACACAGACACACAGTCACACAGACACACAGACACATAAACACACAGTCACAGTCACACAGACACACAAACACACAGTCACACAGTCACACAGACACACAGACACACAGTCACACAGACACACAGTCACACAGACACACAGACACACAGTCACACAGACACACAGACACATAAACACACAGTCACACAGACACACAGACACACAGTCACACAGACACACAGTCAGCGCTCAATCTCAAAGGCTATGAAATAACATTTGAGAAGTTCATCAATGTATCCAAAATACAACATGGGTCTTCGCCATAGCGGCTGTGCTCTTTCAGAGACTTGCATTTTCAAAATGACACCATGCTCCATGCTCAAATCGTTTTTTCTTTCTGTAATTTGGGTTAACCGTACTGTCATGTTCTGGCTGTTTATTGCTTGTACTTACCTTTGTTGCATTAGGGAACAAAACAGGAACCAGTCTGAAGTTCAGGCAGCCTTGTTGGATGAACTCATTCTGGATCTGTGCCAACAGGAACACATGCTTATAGTTCTCCATACACTTATACAAGTGATATTTTGACATGTTTACTGTAGGTTGAATTGAATTGGAGCGAGCAATCCACTGCAGGTTGGATTTCATTTTAAATGTTCCATGTAGTCTGAAAAGGAAATGAATACTGGAGAGATTTCTCAACTCAAATTTGGGTGAACTCATTTGTTGCATTACTTTACAATAATGAAAGAAAAATGAATACCAATAACACTGTGGGACAATGAAATACCCTTACTTTAAGTCGCAGGAGGATGCTAACAAGCGACTGAATGAGACATCTTGTCGAACGTTAGCCACCTTTAGCCAAGCGGAGGGTGATATCCTCATTTATTTTAATTTTATTTAATAGTTTATTCAGCAGGGACAATGCACAGTAATGAACACTTAAAACATTCAAATGTGTCAAGCGTAATAGTGCCAGATTTAGCTTTAAGCTCATTTCCATCCTCGGAAATTTAAGAAAATTACATTTTACAAACATAGCAAAAACAAAATACATGTTATGCAAAAGGTGCAAAAGAGCAAGAGCAGCATACACAAGTATTTATTTATTTTGCAAGTTGAATTTAATAGTATTGGATACTTTCTTAATGTGTTTCTTAAAAGTCAAGTTTGAGTCCAGTATGACTCCAAGATACTTGAAGTGGGAGACTAGTTCTAATTCTGCTCCGTTTAAAAACACGTTGGATCCTTTGATTTTGACTGGTCGTTTACTGAACATCATGCATACTGTTTTTTTTACGTTTAACTGTAAACAAATGTTGTTCAGCCAGTGTTGAACCTTGTCCAAAGCATTGGAGAGACAGGATGTGATTATTTCAGTGTTTTCCCCGTGTACAGTGTACGCAGTAAGAAGTAACGGTACGCAGATGGGTAAAAATCAGAAGTCCCGGTACTGCGTACCGGTGAGTACCGGCCCAAGTCAAGCACTGGAAAACAGTAATGGTCCAAGAATGGAACCTTGTGGAACCCCAACAGGGTTCACAAGGTAGGGGGATTTGGCACCGTTGACCAAAACACACTGTTTTCTGTTCGATAAGTAAGACTTAAACCAATGTATTGAATCTGCCGAAAAATAATGTCAGCTTTTTACTTCTTGCTGTTGCTTTTACACTTCAAAAATCATGAAGTGGTGTTTATATGTGGAGATTATCAGTCAACAAAACCACTGTGTGGTTGACAGCTGTCTTTATAGGAGTCCTCACCTGGTTGTGGATGTACTTGGTGTGCAGGCCGTGCTCGTCGTCCCCATCTCCCTCCACGTCCTCCTTATACTTGGGACTGATGACCACGATGATGAGCACTGATTTCTGTAATGATACATCTCACTGTCAGCTTTTACTGAAGACAGCATTACAATTTGGATTCATACTCTGCTCAATGGAAAGACTTACGTCATTCAAAAATCTGTCCATCCATTTGGTGATGTCCATTCTTCGGATTGGATTGTCAAAGATATCAATCTGTAGACAACAGGCAGAATTTGAATGTTTGAATAAAAAATCAGTGGGATCAAAGGTGTGGGAGACATGGTATAACTTACTGCTGGTTTGAACCCTTGATCTGTCAGAAATGTGGTGAAAGGTATGATTTCTCTGGCAGTGTCCACTGAATATGTGATGAAAACATTCCCTGTCAACAAGAAGTCAGCGAAACATTCTTATCTTTGGGTATTAGTCCACTGCTGGCAAGTAACTTGCAAATGTTGGGCAATTTGTACAATTAGCATTAGTCACATTAATTAGTAGTAATTATCCTAAGAAGACAATAGCTTAAAAATGGCTTGGCCGATTCAGAAAGGACCATGTACATATGTGACTTACTGCACTCCTCAGGCAGGCTGATGGTCCTCCTCATCTCCTGGGTGGCTGGCCCTGGATCAGGCTGGAGGGAGCGATGCACACTGACCTCACGCATCACATCCCAGGCAGGGGCTGCACGCTGAGCCACAGATCCATGGGGGGGGCTTGGATCATCTTTAAGTTGTAGTCTATTATGGGGGTAATTCCTGTGGAGGAGTTCATTACGTCTGTGAAGCATCATATGAATCAATGTTACAAAGATCAGATCATTATGACAAACAGGCCATACCTTGACTGTTGGGGGTGTTGAGGCTCCCCGCATGGATCTGCTGGGTAATCATACTTATAAAGATGATCATTGTTAGTATGATGGTGCAGTTGTGCTGGAGGGCAGCATGCACGCTGTCTGCCATGACGCCACAGACATTGGTTTTGGCCTGCAGAGAGATATAAAGGAGCTGACATTAAACAGCAGTGAGGTCATGAGGTCACAATGAGAAGCCAAATGATTCCTCACAGGGTCAGCAGAAACATACTAAATCCATCACAGATGTAGTGATTACTGCATATAAACAAATGAGCTCATTTTAGCTTGTAAAAGTATTTTTCTCAACATTTTAAACACTGATTTAAATGGCATATTTAGGTTTGTACTGCAGGCTGTAGTCTCATAATATTCAACAATATTCAATTACTGTGATATATATCTTCATAAAATCCCAACATGACTGCACTGAAGAAACTGAAACGTTTACTTTAATTAAATGTATTATGTCATCAAATTTCACATAACTATTCGGTTAGTTGAAAGCAGTGGCGTCGCCTGGCCTGGGCATCCGGGGCTTTAGCCCCGAATGTTTTTTCTGTAGCCCCGGACAATTCTCCCTCAATAATATAATACATTAACCGTGCTTTACGTGAACCTCATCATGACACAAGAGAGGACGGCAGCACTGTAATTTCCCGTGTTCAGTGAATGCAACAGAGGCATGACACCAGACCAATCAGAGAGTTGCATGGAAATAAACGTGTGCTTGTGTCATTCAAGCTCGGCTCTGTGTGTGTGTGGCAATTAGTGATGGGAATTCCGGCTCTTCTTGGTGAGCCGGATCATTTGGCTCGGCTCACCAAGAAGAGCCGGCTCTTTCGGCTCCCAAACGGCTCTTCAGTTTACCACATATTATACCTTTTATAATTCAATCAAATGTAACCCTTTTTTGACTAATGATTTATATGTGTACACATATCACTTAAATTATTCAATACATCCTTTGTACTGAAGTATTCAAAAGTAAAAATTACATGTTTAATATCAATTATTTGCTGTGGCCAATTGTTTTCATTGCATTTACAGACCCTTGTATCTCTCTGATACCACCCAATGAATGCACAGACTTGCTTGTCGCTACACAAAGCAGATAGCAACACCTATAAAAACTTAAGCATAGACATTTAAAAAAAGGGCTACTGTATCGACATTTTAAAATTATATTTAAAGAAAGGGCCCTGACAAAACAGCAGGGCTCTATTTCAGTATTAACTATAGAAAAAAAGACAGCAACAGCTGACATCAAATCTTTGCTGAGCCCAAGGATAATCATAAATAAATAACATAGTGAAAATAAATATATTGCAATGCTCAGTACAGCAGCATCCAACCGTCTCTAATCATAAAAAAACATAATAAAAATAAGTGTATTGCAATGCTCAAAACAGCAGCATCCAACAGTCTTTAATCCTTGGATATTACATGTCACTGCATGCATGCACGGAGCAGCTGTAGCGCGGAGATCATCATATCATTCTGTCTTGTATTACTTAACAAAAAATAACAAAAACAAAAAAACGGCTCGTTCGCGGGCGCGAGCCGGCTCCCGTCGTTCACTTAAAAGAGCCGGATCTTTGAGCCGGCTCGTTCGCGACCGACACATCACTAGTGGCAATAGCGCATTTAGTGTGATAGAGAGAGAGAGAGGGAGAGAGGGGGAGGGAGGGACCGGTGCCAGCATGGACCGTGTTGTTAGCATCTGGTTAGCTAGCTGCACTAACGGACATAAGGAGCTGTTTGTTCCACAACAAGCTGGAGGAGAGTCCTCTCCTCTCAGACTGAGAGACTCAGGTGAGCTAAAGGACTCTCTGAGTGTTTAGATAGTTAACTTTAGTCTAAGTTATCTCAGTGGGTCTCAAACGGTTTGGTCACAAATTATTCAAAAGGTAATTTCCGCGGCACACCTTCATATGATCATTATAGTTATTAAAAATAAGAGAATAAAGGAAAAACAGTTATGAAATACTATATGGCAGTAAAACAAGAATAGAGTTTAAAAGGGGAGTGATTAGTAAAATATCCATAAAGAAAAAGTACATCTGTTTACAGTTCTGCTTCATATGGGTGTTGAGAGAGGTATCCATAGATCTCTTCATTTTGCTCTCAAAGTGCACCAGATTGATGCATTTAACTTCAATATTTAAAAAAAAATCTTCCCCGGGGAGCATCCCCCCGGACCCCCCTAGAGGAGGTGAGCCCCCCACTCATAAAAAATACCACTTTACCCCTGCCTATATGCCGTGAGCTGATTATCGATCCTTCATTGTAACAGTCGCGGGTGTACTGTGTGTGTGCGTGTGGGGAGTGTTGCAGTAGAAAATTCCACTGTAGTGCCGCCGCCACTGTGGGCTAAGCCCCGAATGTTTTCAGGTCCAGGCGACGCCCCTGGTTGAAAGCAAAAGCTTTATAACAACTTCATATTATTGCTTTCAACTAACTAACCTAGTACAGTTATGTAATTTCTTTTGACATAATACATTTAAATAAAGTAAATGTTTCAGTTTTTCAGGTATAATGACCATTATTTCTAATGTACCATGGGACTCAAAATCTCCATTTATAAGGATTGTTTCTCTTTGTATTTATTGAGATACACCATACTTTTATTAATATTATTAGTATCTTCATCATTATAATTATTATGTTCCTACTTGTTTATTTGTGATTCTCACTTTAAAACTCACATTCTTTTCTTTTTTGACATATCGTTGCATCAAATATTCATCAACAGCAACTTGTCATACCAAGCCAAGCAAAGCTGCCTCGCTCATGAGTTCCCTCTTTCTTTACCCTGATTCAGGCTGTGCACATCCTGTTGTTACTGCACCCATACTAACACAGTACAATTGAATTAAACCCAATTTGTGATGTTTACAATAACATTTAAGAAAAAATGCAGGAATGATGCATAATCCATAGACCTTGAACACTACTTTTTATCATCAAATATGTGACCTCATCAAACATGTCGTCCACAGAAACATCTTATAAATCTGGTTTCATCTTATAAATCTCAGGACCACTGACAGTAACAGAATGTAAAATGTTCCATGTGTCACTGACCAGGGTGTGGTGGAGGGACGTAGTCGGTGAAGTTATCTCCAGACCTGAGTGTGAGGGGGGGTTCCAAGCGTTCATCCTCCACAGAGTAATGCTGGGGCCAGTCTGAATTACCCACAAAGCCTCTGGGGTGGTTAAGCAAGTCCCGCCCATACAGTGGAGACTGCTCTCTGAGGCCATGCAGCCTAACATCTGCATGGTGGGGAGGCATTAGATGAAGGGGGGGCTCTGCTCTGGGTTGAAGCTGCAGCTGTTTCTCAGGGAGTCTCCATGGGCCCTCAGTGTGTGCCGCCCCCCCCACCTGCTCATGGCTGGCTTGTATCTGAGACCTTGTGATCACTGTATGTCCACTGCACTGTCTGCAGGGGGGGGGGCAGGCCAACTCCAGACTGGAGGGTGTCATTCTCTCGTCCATCTCTACAGGAACACTCTGGTGAGGGCAGCCCCCTGACAACAAGAGGCAACAGAAAAACCTGTTCACACTTCCCAGCAGACTGTGCATACTGCTGACTCATCACGTTTGGTTTCCTACCTTTCAAACAGTCCATTGATCCAACAGTGTGATGCCTCTGCTGAAGTGAACACTAAGAGAACAGTACAGGACATGAATAGAGCAGGACAGGTTAAAGACACAGACTGCACAGCTGGCACGTAAACAAATGAAGTCTCAACTGAGGGATTCAAAGTCCATTTTACAGTCACGATCAAGTCAAAACCGAAAATATAAGTTGTATGTATGTGCAGGGTGAATAGACAAATATAAACATGAGTACATAACATATATACAAGTACAAACCGCATTCTCACATTCTTGGTTCCTCCTCACTGAATAGGTGTGACACATTACACGTAACTTTAGAGGAGCGTCAGAGTTTAACACATTCGCTGCAAACTAGTACAAAGGTCAACATCACAGAACTAAAGGTATGCTAGGTATGGCTTCTTAGATTACAAATCAAAACAATTTGTGAAGTTTTAGTATGTTTTCCATTATAAATGTACATACAGAGAATAAAGTGTACTCCTACGCCTACCTTTCCTTAGAGCTGCTTCTCTCACCCACAGCACAGACCTGTTCTGAAGCAAACAGGAAGTATTCCCACTATGCAAAGCAGGGAAGTGTCGTGACCCATTTATGCAAATAATGTGGGGCATTAAGACTGCAACCGCCTGATGGGTTCTTCAGCAAGGTGAGCCTCCTGTGGCTATTCAGCTTTCACTCCTTCTATTTGATCCAACCCTTAGTAAAGAGCACATGTAAGTCTTGAAGTAGTACATTACAATGTGTCAACAAATAAACAGTTGACTTGACAGGCACATGAATAGCACTGCAGCTATGCTAATATTTCCTTTGGAACCGTTTCATAAGATGTGACTGTTTGTGATGAGCGAACATTTTGAGGTTTCAAAGCAGATGTCCTTTTACAACTACCTATGACCTGGACCACTCCGAACCTACTATCACCTACAGACTAACCCTATGGCCACTTATTCACATACATTGTTACAATAGTTCATCCACATTCATCATTAGTTTATTTCATATGTTTGACAAGACAAATCTACTGTGAGGTGGTGGTTAGTGTTTCATGCTAATGTTATAATGCTAACATACTCAAAATGTCAATACAAACATCCCGATGTTTAGCAGGTCAAATGTTTACCATGTTTGCTAGCATTTATTAACACTCAATACAAAGTACAGCTGAGGCTGATGGGACGATCAATAGTAGAAAAGGTATTTAATCACATACCATCACTTTTCAGTATTAGTATCATCACAGCTTTGGTGGGGATAGCTTAACATCGAAAGGTCATCATACATTTAGTTGGAATCCCTGAACAATTCTGGTAAGTGGGCTTTTATGTGAGATCTTTTTGTCAAATTTATATTTAAAAAGTCAAGAAGGAACATTAATGTTTAATGGATTACATTTTTGAAAGTCTTATTCTTGTCCAATCTTCCAGATGGGTTCTACTCCGTCAGTTTGAGATTGGTCAGCACCACAGTCACAGGGTCAGCGGATCGCAAGGCCTTATGATTGGCCACAGAGAAGACCCTCATGGTGGTGTGGGTGAGAACAGAGCCCAGCTCACGGGCCTTCACCTTACAGGTGGCCACTTGGAGCAGCTCCCGGCGGAAGCGGCGGCTCACCATGCAGTAGAGCAGGAAGTTGGTGGTGGAGTTAAGGTTCTGCAGCATGTTGGCCAGGTCTCCGGCCACATTGATGGGGATGTTGTAATCGTTCCTGTTGAAGTTCTCATTGTTGTACTTGGTCCTCAGGATGCAGTATGTGACAAAGCGGGGCAGGCTGAGGACGACAAAGGTGACGGAGACGGTGCCCAGGAGCAGGATGGTCCTCCTCAACATGCCCCTGGTGCTCCGCCCACGCATCACACGACGCTCCTCCTTGGTGAAGAGGTTGCTGGCGCGGCACAGATGGTAGCCGATGAGGTAGTTAAAGATGATGACCAACACGATGGGGATTCCCCCTGAGAGGAAGGTAGTTATCCACACTATATACGTAGAGTAGGCCTCGTCGCGGTAGCGACACCGGGGCAGTGTCACATTGTGTCCGTCCACAGTAATGTTGACAGGTGAGACAATGTTGATCCAGCCCAGCGGCACAGACACAACATGGGACACCAGGACGATCGCCACACATGTGAGTTTAGTGACGTGGGCCTGGGAGAAGTGCTGCTTGGCCGCTGTGCCAACAACAAGGTAGCGCTCGATGGTGAACACCACCACGATCCAGGAGGAGCTGTAGAGGGATCCATATTGCAGCACTGCCAGGATGGAACACCAGGGATTGGAGTTCCAGAAGGGCTGCAGCAGCCAGAAGGTGAGGGTCAGGTCTACAAGGATCACCCACACCAGGTAGAAGGTGTCCATGATGGCCAGGCAGCTCAGATAAATGATGGCCGTGTCTGACATCCCGCACTTACGGAAGCAGATCATGTAGAATGTGAAGAGGTTTGCTGGGAGACACAAAGATTATTATATTTTCCTGGCTGGTCCAACTTTTAAGTTACAACCAATTTATGCTTAATAATTCAGTAATAATCAATGTTGGTGCATATTGGGGTTTGTCAGAACTTTTATCCTGGTTCAGCTAACATTTTTCTAAAAACTCAGAAGCTGTCAAATATATGTGTTGTAGCATGCTGGTACACCATACACCCATGTCGCCAATATTTTGAGGTCATATTTTGAGCCTATATTTCTAAGTTTGACATGTATCATATTATAAAATGTGTAACTTTTTCTGCATGTTTATTTTGTAACCCTTTCCCCCTTATTCCAGTCTTTGAGCTAAGCTAGGCTGCACATTCCCTAGGCCTACCTGTATTTGAACACACAGAAGTGAACCTTATCTGTTGAATGCCAATGTGTATCCCAAATCACAGGACTATTCTTTAACAGACTGTAGATATTGCAGTTATGTTAGTAACCAGAGGTGGGAGGTGTACTTAAATAAAGTACCAGAGTGTAGGAATACTCTGTTACAGTAAAAGTACTGCATTCAAAATGTTACTCAAGTAAAAGTAGAAAAGTATTATCATCAAAATATAGTGAAAGTAGCAACAGTAAAAGTAGTCATTGTGCAGATTGGTCCATTTCAGAATAATATATATGATATGTTTTATAATGATTGATCATGAAAGTGTTCTCAAAGCTGGTAAAGGTGCAGCTAGTTTGAATGACTTTGTATACTGCAGGGTAGCTTGTGGATTTACTCCAGGTGGAACTAAAGTCTGATTCAACACTTGATTATATTTCACATCATTCATCCACATCTGTGAAGTACATGTACATAAAGTACACGATTTAAGTGTGAAGTAGCAAAACATATAAATACTCAAGGAAAGTACAAAAACTCCAAATGGAGTAAATACTTAGTTACTTGTCATCACTGTTAGTCACTTATAGAATAAGATGTGGATGCTGTGAGGGCAGTGGGTCAAACTGCCTGGTTACTGCCTGGTTACTGCCTGCAGGACACAGTGAGCTAAAGTGATTGGTTCAATGTAATACTGTCACTTGTGCCTGGAACAAGAAGAAGATAGAGACCTGGGATGCCCACGACGCAGAGCAGAGGGTAGTAGACCCTCTGGACGGTGACGAGCACGGTGGCGCCGGCCCCCTCCATGCTGCATTCAGCGCCGCTCAATAGCTCACATAATAATACCTGCAATAAAGCCATTAGAGAGGTGAGGACAAACACTGTTGAAGCAGATCACAGCTGTTACCTCTTTAGAACATTGAGCCATTAAGCTTTTAGAAGGTTATTATGAACTACTTGGAGACACTTTGGTGAAAGTATCACCAAAATGACTACATTTAAAAAGTCAAGACAGTATTCAAAAACATTACAGATGAAAATGATTTTTTAATGTTCACTGAAAAAACTGAAATGTATGTGAAATGTAGTGTATATGTGAAATCTGTTAACATAATACATTTCATTAAAGTCAACGTTATTTCAGTGTGGATATTTATTTTGTATTTTATTTACTAATGGTTGTAAATCAGAGGTCATCGAACCAACTGTTTAGCCGCTTTGTTTGTACAACTAATGTGTCATCACTTTCAGAGCGTTTTTGTTCAACTATGTTTAAGCTAGAACTTGATTTAGCTCCAAAGTGAAAGTGAGACATCCAGCTGACTAATGATGGCTGATCTGAAGAGATGGAGACATGTCCGGTGAAACACAATAACACTAAACTGATGTATGTTATCTAGAGATCACACAGAAGTCCTAGAGCTCTCTGGACAATGGATGTTTTATTGAAGCCTTCACCCTTCCACAGTGCATTATCAATCATCTGGATTATTAATGCAGATGAATAATGTTCATCTGGGTAGTCAATACTACAATAGTTGAAATAAAACCTACCTGCTCTCTATAGATCCTCCGAGCTGTTCTCTATAGGTGACACACAGGAGTGACTTCCTCAAAGTGATAGAGCTGGTGATGTCTGGAGACCACGAGAGCGTCCATAATGTGAGGAGGGAAGGCTTCAGGAGGAGGGAGCGAACTCACTGGTTTTCAATAGGATGCAAATAAACTCAAGGCAATAACTGATGGCACACAAGACAACGCACAAGTATTAATATGTATCATATTGTGTTTTTATGAATAGAAATTCAACTTGTGATTTGTTTCCAAATCATCCGTTTGAATAGCAAGCTTGATCAATCATTTCTCAAGGACACAGAATGCATGTCTTTTTCCACTGCAACAAAAACAAAGTTATAGGATAAATAAATATTTCTAGAAAGATACAAATGTTTGCGTTATGGAAGAAAAAGATAGTCCAGAGTGCCTGTAATGATGTAAATACTACAATCTTCTGACAGCAAGTGCCTCTGACCCCGCCGGCTCACATCATGTCACTGGGTTACGGTATTTTCTTTTTTAAATTGCCAAGACATTTGTGCAACTCCAGTACACCTGAAGGATCAACTAGGGTGGGCCTGTCTGATGGGATACCAGGGGCTGATCGTGTGCCCCTGGTATCACCATAGGAACTGTATCCAACAGGAACATCGGCACAATAAAGTAGACACATTGTCACCTGCTTCTGGAGGAGGGGACCATACATATCTAAAAACAAATGTCAAGGCTAGATGTGAAATAGTTGCTTTATCTTGACATTCACAGTCACTGATGTCCTCTGGGAAACATTCTGTATCAAATGGATCTGCCACCCACAAAAGGAACATCACCTTTAATATACTAGTTTCAGCAATCAGATTTGTTTTGAAATGAAAAATACTAATGATGTCAAAATGCATTGACAGAAAGGAGCCTTAACCAGGGTGTAGGATTGTGAAGGACCAGGGTAGGCAAACAGGCGTGCAGGTAAAGGTGTGTTACGACTGAATAAACGGGTTTGAACTCAAATGCACGACTCACACAGGTTTTAACAAAAAAGGTTTATTCAAACCAAAGCTCTACTACAGAGGTCAAAAAACTAAATAACTCTTAACGAGGAAAAACAGATTCAAAACAAAGTCACTCTTAATGAGGAAAAACACTAACAAAACAAAATCACTTCAATGAGACAAAAACACTAGGAGCATGGATAACTAAATACTCAGACAAGACGTGGCTCAAAGCTCTGCTTGAGATTTTACCTGGCATGATACACTGGTAGTTAGTCACAGGAAACGAAACGAACTGGCACAGGACAAAGGGAGACGAGGACAATAAATACACCAGGTAATGGGGAACAGGTGGAAACAATCAGGGGCGGGGTCGACAATCACAGGTGTGGGAGACACACAAGGAAGGGAGGTCAGAGTATCTGAAATGAGAGGGGAGGTTACTATTAAAAGATAAAGGGGAAAATCACTAGACAAAGACAAAAACACTAAACTAAACTAACATAATTTGCGAGAGATGACAGTACTCCCCCCTCTAGGGCCGACTCCTGACGGCCCAGGAACCTGAGGGTGCTGGCGAAAAAAGTCATTAATGAGAGTCTGATCCTCGACAAATCTTGATGGGATCCAGGAGCGTTCTTCTGGTCCATAACCCTCCCAGTCAACCAGGAACTGTATCCCTTTGCCTCTGTTCCGGACCGCCAACAGGCGCTTGACCGTATAGACCAGGCCGCCGTCGAGCATTCGGGGGGGGAGAGGGGGTTTGGCTGCGGGAACCATGGGGCTTTCCTTTACCGGCTTCAGTCGTCCCACATGGAAAGTGGGATGAACCCTCAGAGACCTGGGTAGACGAAGGCGGACAGAGACCGGGTTAATGACTTTGGTCACTGGGAATGGGCCTACGAACCTAGGTGCCAATTTTCGTGACACCACATGAAGGGGAAGATCCCTGGTAGAGAGCCAGACCCTCTGGCCGGGTCTGTATTCCGGAGCAGGACGACGCTTCCGATCTGCCGCCACCTTCATGCGTTCCCCACTCCTAAGAAGAGCCCTGCGGGTGGCGGACCAGATCCGGTGACAACGCCGAACCAGGGCGTGGGCGGACGGGACTGTGACTTCCTTCTCGAGATCCGGGAAGGTAGGAGGTTGATACCCATAGGCAGCCTGGAAGGGAGTCAACCCAGTAGGGGCCGTGGGGAGCGTGTTGTGGGCAAGCTAAAACACTAAACTAAACTAACATAATTTGCGAGAGATGACAAGGTGGACATTTTATCAATTTTATTTACCCAAAATATATATATATACATATTTTTAGGATGGGTAACAAAATCAATTAGGATGAAAACAAAAAAGGTGAATTCTTTATTATCTAAACAGATACAATCTGGAATCCAAGCATTAATTAATAAAGAAAACTTGAACATGACATGCTGTGCTCTTCTTCCCAAGAGCCAGCCTGCAGTGAACCAATGCGGGCCAGGGGAGAGAAGACTAAAGTTAAACACCCCTTAAGGTTTTAAAGGTCCCCTATTATCCTGTGTTTCATCAACATATCACAGCTCTCAGGTATATACAGAACATGTCTCTGGAGTGTTTGGCTCCAAACACCAAACAGATCATTGCAGCATTACCCATAATCCCCTCTGTTTCAGCCCTGTTTCCAAAGTGCTGATTCTCTGTCTGTTACTTTAGATGAAAATAAGGAGCCACGCCCCTCTGAGAGAGATTTGGTTAAAAAGAACACAATAGTGCTCTAGAGGAGATTCAGGTGATAAGGGGGGGGGGGGTTACACGAGCCAAAACATCGTTATGACATCATAAAGTGGCCAAAATCTGATCAGCTCATTTTCAGACAGGTTTTTAGATAAATGGATCAGGACCAGAAGTGAGAGAAGCTTCTTTCCTGAAACTTTTAGAATCTCTTTACACAGAGGGGACACAAAAGGTCTCAATGTCGAGGACGCTTGCTTGGTAGCACATGTACCTCCGAGTGAGTTCCTTAAGAAGCGAGGCAAGAATACTTCCTAGCCTCGGAAAACAAAGAGTGGAACAGGCTAGCAAGTGTGCAGGTGTGCGTCATATGAGAGGCCCCGCCTTACATTTTCAGCCTAAGATTTTGGAAATTGGTCCGTGCGCAAAGCATTGTGGGGATTTTAAGACCGCGGAGTCTACTCATGTGCAGCCTCGATATTTCTCCAAACGGAGTACGCTGGGCTCGGTAGATTTCCAAGTATGCTGGAGATTGGAACAGTCCTTCGGCGGCACTCGATGACGTAGTATGCTTGAAATAGTGGCTCTGGAGCAGCTTTACTCGACATTGAGAAACACCCAAAGTAGATTTTGCATAATAGGTGACCTTTAAGGGAATGGCAGAGTCCAATTAGCATGCTACATAAACAGTTACTGTTCATCAGCTCAGCCTTTGCCAGTCTCAAGGCGGGCTGCAACACACATAGGACAATAGGATTGACACAGCACACAGCGGACAATCACTCATTTGAACTAGATAGTGTGCACTCAATCTAGTTCAAATGAAGTTGTTTAAAAAAGATGTCTGTGTATGTGTACTGTTAAACAAAAAGCATAACCTTTAGGATGTGAGGATGGTTGTGAGGCTTAGCCTTCACAAAGACGCACATTTGACAGGACTGCATGTGATTCAATGGATAGGTTGACTTTTTACACTGAAAACAAATTGAAACGTTAACTTAAATAAATGTATTATGTCAACAACAAATGACACATAAGTGTATAGTATTAGATTAGTTGAAAGCAATAATATTACGTGTAAATAAAACATTGTAGGTTCAACTTAATAATATTGCTTACAACTAAACTAATAGTTATGTGGAATCTGTTGACATAATACATTTCATTAGAGTCAAAGGTCATTGTTTTCAGCAAGAGGTGTAATATGTAAAGCTCTTAAAGATCAGCAGCACCTCTGCAACAGAACACCACATGTGGATCCTAAGATCTCTATCATCCAAAGCTAATATAATGTAATATTAATATCATCATCAGATTGATGTTATGATTTATATATGTCAGCATAAATCAAACCACCCCAGCCAGTTATGTTAATATTCCTGTTCCTCGAGCTACAGGCTGAGGGGGGGGGGGGTCCTAGCCATCTTTGACTCAATGTTCCTAATCAACTCATCTTCCTCAGGAAATACTCTGCACATCCTCTTCCTGTACAGAACACATCCTCTTCCTGTACAGAACACATCCTCTTCCTGTACAGAACACATCCTCTTCCTGTACAGAACACATCCTCTTCCTGTACAGAACACATCCTCTTCCTGTACAGAACACAGTCTGTTTCCCATGTGACTCCTACATCCCTATAGTTATGATCAAGTCTCTAAAACAGATCAAGTATTTCTTGTTGGTGACTTAAAACCCCTGTTGCCGTGGCAATAATAGCCTTTATAACCCTCCGCCTTGTTCGGACATCCTGAGTCGTGGTCCTGCGTGACGCACCTTATTCATTTTTGCCGCCACCTGGAAGATTGTTCTGATCTTCCTGAATCCAGCTGGTTTACACGTTCTCATGATCATTTGGATCATTTGGGTTGTCTATGTTGAACATGTATTATCTCTGATACTGTCGGATGATGTCCCATGTGAGGGTCGGAGGGTACTGTCAAACCTCTGAGACAAATATGTGATACTTAGCTAAATACTATGTCTGAACAGTAGTACTTAGTTGTAAATCCTTTGCTTGCAATAACTGCATCAATCCTGCGACCCACTGACATCACCAAACGTCTGCATTCTTCTTTGTGATGCTCTTCCAGGCTTTCACCGAGCCTCTTTCAGTTGTTCTTTGTTCGAGGGGGTTTCTCCCTCTGGCTATGGCCAATGTTTGTGCAACGGCTCTGATTTCCTTCTTCTCTCAGTTTCAAAATGGCTTGCTTTTCTCCCGTAGGCAGCTCTCTAGTCTTCATGTTGGTTACACCGTTGTAACTATGAATGCAGTCTGCACAGGCAAGGCCCAACGCTCAGACTGAGAGCAGACATGCAGTGCATTGGATTGTTTCAATAACAATGTAGCAGGACGCACCTGGGCAACAAACACACCTGTCAGTCACATGGCCCTATACTTTTGCTCACTTGGTAAATGGGTGTGTTTAAACAAAAGGTGCTTTCTTCTCAGTTCACAGATCTAGATGTAAATACCTGGAGTTAAAAGCTGACCTTTTGGCTCATCTTCATCTTTTGATGTCAAACCTAATTGTTTTCAGTGTACAGCAAACATAAAGCAATTGGCCTCGCTGCTCCAGTCGTTTTGGAGGGGAGTGTATAAACACACACCTCACTATCAGCTCTGAATAAGAGTGTGTTCTCATTCGTTCTGAGTAACATGGATTGTTGCTCTTTTTTAAATAAATCCATAAATGCATGTTCATTTTGGATGTATCATTTGTCTTGTGTCACATTTGTTTTTGAACTCCTCCAGTGCGGCTGTCTTTCAGAGACAGGGATCATGTTAGTGTGAACAGATCAGAGACTGCACGGACCCCCCCACCTTCAACACGCAGACCACAACTCCCTTTCTGAGCTCATGCCTGTATTCAAACATTAGATTTGATGCTTTCTTTGTATTAGAAAGTATTGTTCATGTTAGGAATCATTAGGGTAGGTCTGTGGTCACTGCTGTCCTCCGTCTGCAGGAGTGTGCACGTGCTAACCGGAGGCAGACATGTTTATGAGCCAGCCAAGAATCAGTAGAATATGCTGAAGAAACAGTCAGCATATCAGACAATTCAAGTCTGTATATATCTGGCTAATCTCCTGACTTTATGGAAGTGCAATATGAAGGCAGCAGCTCCTCATTACCCTGTGCTTCTCCTCAGCATGTCACGGTTTAAGCACACAGACACTGGCATGTGGAAAGAAGTGTGTTGGGAAGAGTGTAAAAGGTTTATTGTTCTTTTCTGAAATTCAAATGCCAAATCACTGAATGAACAAAACAAGTTATGTTAAAAATGGAAATGAAAAAGTGTAAAGAAAGGAAAGTAAGCGACACTTAAAACCATTTAGCTGTAAAACTGAACAAATAAGGGGTTTCCATGGCAACAAAACCATGTGCATTGAGACCTGATCAGCTCATCTTCATTCAGTGGCTTCAGATCCTGACTTCTGTTCTGAAGTGTTGAAGCCTCCTCTGAACACACAGTCCAAGTGCCTTTCATTTGAAAGGGTTCTCAAGTCAAATAGTCCAAATGAAACAAGTGGAACGTAAAGAAGGAATCAGGGAGGAGGAGAGCGGTCCAGGTCCAGCTGCAGCACTCTACACCACCTGACAAACATTCAAGATAACCCAAGCTTTCTTCTTCCAGCTAACAGAAACAACACTTGCAGTAGAACCAAGACATATCTTTCATCCAACTGTTTTCAAAGTGATGAGGTCTGCTCGTCTGAGAAGCCTCTGCAGTTGAGAAGAAGTTAAGATTAAAGAAATCATCTGGGCCTGAATTATTTACACAATTTGAAAATTAGAAAAAAATATATGTTGGCATCCAATGGAACCTCTGGAGAAGGCTACAGTCTGATCCAGGGTCAGGTCACACGCATCCTTCATCGCTGTGTGCAGGAGAAAATACAATCTTAAAGCAAACACACAAAGTAAAACCAGCTTTCTTATTTACATTGAATACATTGCATTATCAGTTAACTCCGTCCATCATCCACCCCCCCACTTCCCTGCTTATAGCATTTGCAGAGTTCAGACATGGTGGGGGGGATTCGGGGGGGGGGGAGGGGAGTTTTGTAGGTGGAACTGAGGAAGCTGTACAGATCATTCAACAAAGGCTGGGAAGGCTCCAGAGTTTCTACCAGTTTCCGACCCGGGTCTGGAGGTTGTCCCCGGGTCTGGAGGTTGTCCCCGGGTCTGGAGGTTGTCCCCGGGTCTGGAGGTTGTCCCCGGGTCTGGAGGTTGTCCCCGGGTCTAGAGGTTGTCCCCGGGCTGGTACTGAGGCTCCGTGGCTGTGAAGTAATCCTCCAGGAAGGCCTGCAGGTACTCGAAGGTGGGCCGCTCCTCAGCATCCTTCTTCCAGCACTGCAGCATGAGCTCGTGCAGGGAGACGGGGCAGTCCTGGGGGATCGGCATCCTGTAGCCCCGCTCCACCTGCTCCAGAACCTCCCGGTTATTCATGCCTGAGAAGAAAACACAAAGGTGAGAGAGTGCACCCTGGCTCTCAAATACATCAGTATATCCCACCTCTACATATCAAACACACCGTCTGAACCAAAGAGTTACATTTACGCCTTTACACACAGACACAACGGAAACGTTGACTTTCATGAAATGTATAGGTCTGCAGATTTCACATAACTGTATTACGTTAGTTGACAGCAATTATATGAAGTTTAGATAACAAATATTAGATCCAACTCATAAAGTTATGTGAAATGTGTTGACATAATACATTTAATTTAAGTTATTGAGAAAAATGAATTATTTAAACTATGATTTGCATTAGTCCGTGTATCTTAAATTCAACTGTTTTTTCTTTCTTCAACCAGTACATTTCAAATGAAAAGATGTATGCTGTTTCTGGATGTGGTGGAAAGGGTTCAAAGGGGCTTTCCTGTTGTCTCAGAGTCTTTACTGATGAGACAAGTTTTGGCAAACAGGATGAAACCATGTGTGGAGAGAGGGGACAAGGAGGAATGAGACCTTCCTCTGCAGCGTGATCTACGTCTGTTTCTGCTCTGCCAGCCGCTTAAACAGAGTGTCTGTGGACATGTGCTCTGTGTTGATACCAGCTGAAGTCACAGTTATCACCAGAGCAGCAGCAGCCTTTACCTGTGAAACAAATACCCTGCCCTCTGTATGGATGCTGTGTCCTGCTGAGCGTCACACCGGACAGAGTGCGTTGAAATCAGACGACTAGCCCTTTATTTCAGGTGCTCTCATTGTTCTCATGTTAGCTCTCATTCTGGAAGGGTTTCTGTTTTCATAGCTATGTGTGTGTTTTCTTTTTATAAGGCCACTTTATGTAGATGCCCCAAGTGTGAAGCCCCCCCCCTCACCTGGGTAAGGCACACGACCCTTGGTGGCCAGCTCCGTCAGCAGGATGCCGAAGGACCACACGTCAGACTTGATGGTGAACTTCCCGTAGAGCGCGGCCTCGGGGGCCGTCCACTTGATGGGGAACTTGGCCCCTGAAGGAGAGCACACATCAGATGAGCTTCAGTGACCTCCTGACCTCTCAGATACACAGCAGTACATATCCCACCTCTGTAACATCCAGAGTATTTACATGTATGTCTACACGGATGCACTCTGGCAGTCCTTCCTAATATAGTCACACCACTAACGGTCCTGTGTCCTGTACACTATTATTCTGGTCTGCAAACACACAGGAGCGTTCTTCATCACACCCCGTCACTCATTCATAGCTCATAGTTAGAGTGACGTGTGCATCGTTGTGGACGGTAGCTCCTATTTGTCGGAACGTGTTTTCATTGTGGTGCTCCCTGGGTCTGTATGTATGTGAATGTGTGTGTGAGCATGAACACTGTGTGTGTGTGAGACGAGCCCCACCTTGCCGGGCGGTGTATTCGTTGTCCTCGATGAGTCGGGCCAGGCCAAAGTCAGCGATCTTGCACACCAGGTTGTCTCCCACCAGGATGTTGGCGGAGCGCAGGTCTCTGTGGATGTAGTTCATCCTCTCGATGTAGGCCATGCCGGCGGCCACCTGTGGAGCACACTCTACTTTATTCTTTTACTCCACTACATTTATTCTACGTTTTTAGCTACTAGCTACTTTAGATTTAGATTATTAATACAGAATATAAATCAACTAATACATTATCATATATTATGAAAGGTTAAGCCACACAGTAGTTATTAAAGTCAAGTGAACCCCACTTTTACCAAGTGCAACATTGAAGTGCTGAACACATTAATGTATCAATAATTATAATACAATAATGTCACATATAAGCTGCTTAGATGGGCCGTTCTGCATAAGGAGTACTTCACTTTGATGCTAGTACTTTTACTTGAGTACAATTTACACCGTCGTTTTGCTACCATTACTTAAATAAATAACCTGACCCTTTCTTCCACTTTTTCTGAATATGGAATACTTTGTTTACAACTTCCAGAAGGTTCAAGTATGGATATATATAAACTGGCAGGGAAGCTGTGTGAAGGTGAGTGTGCAGAGCAGGTGTGTTAGCGATAAGCCTCCTCTACCCACAGTGCTTCATGGTAGCTCATTGGGACATTTGAGGGAAACAGAACATCAAAATCTAAATCTAGGTCTATCATTAAGGGAGGGATTAATGCCGGTTTTTCATGTTGGATATCGATAGAGCAATTTATAACCAGTTGCTGATAGCGATCCTTTTCCCTCTCCAAACTTCTACTCTGTTAACCCATTTGTACAGATGTGTTTGTCTTTCTTTCATGTTAACTGTTCACATCAATCCACAGCTAAATTGGTAATAACGTAATCATTTGAGTTATTTTAGTAAGTAAAATAGACAAACAAATGTGTTGGGTTCATCTTAAATGAGAAGATTTAACATTTTCCGTTGTGACTTTGGATAGGTAGCCACATAAAAGATTAAGGATATGTCACGTTTAGTTTTAGAAAGTATTGGAATCATTATCAATAATTTTCACCATGTACAAAACACATAATAAACCTGATCATTCTGTTTCTGATAGGAAATGATAGCACTACTCCAGCTCCACGCAGCAGAGCGGTGTGACGGAGCTGTACCTGAGCGGCCATGTCCACCAGGTTGGGCAGCTTCAGCCCCCGGCCTTCTCCGTCCTTCAGGAACTCCAGCAGGCTTCCTACAGCACACAGAGACACAACACACACACACTGTGTGTCAGAGAGCCATCCACCAATCAGTGCAGCCCAATGGACCCCGCCCTCCGCAGGAATGACCAACCACATGCAATTATCTCCAGCTGAATGTGGGACAGGAGCTTTGTAATTTGCCTGTTCACTTATATCATCACCAGTAATTAGTCGCAGGATGGCGGATATGATAAACACTTGGACATTCATCAGATTTCACAGGGGCTCTGCTGTTTGGAACACATCCTCCTCTCCAGTTAATGAGCGGACCCAGACGTGCCTCAAAGCCCCTGTGTGTGTTCTCACATGTTTGATGCGTGTCTGCAGCTCTTCGTTGTGTGCTTTCTGAATTCATTTCATTTCATTTCAAACCTTTATTTAACCAGATGGTCCCATTGAGATCATAGATCTCTTTTTCAAGGGAGACCTGCAGCATATAGGTTCCACATGGAACATAAAACAATAAAGGACTTCATACATTATATTTACAGGATACATTTACATAGTTATAGACATTTACAAGTACCCATAGTATCAACGAGCATTTCATTTAGCCTAGCTTTAAAAACATGCAGAGAATTGCTCAGTTTCAATTCTTGCTGAAGATTGTTCCAATCAATGATCTCCATAAAACCAAGATAAAAATAAGACCATGCAGTTTCTACATCAGCACACAGATCGATTTTACCCCAATCAAACAGATCATGAACAAAACCCTGCTCCACAAAATGTTTTATGTCTCTCTTAATAATAATACAAGGTTTAACCTTTTGGACCTTAGTGTCCCTAATTGTGGCTACAACACAGTGGTCACTCACATCATTTGCAAATACTCCCACAGATGGGTATTTATAGGGAACATTAGTTAGAATGAGATCAATTAGGGATGATTTATTAGGGGACTTAACGTTAGGGCGAGTAGGACTGTCAACAATCTGAGTAACATTCAGAGAGATACAAAGGTTTTTAAAATCCTCTGATACTGCAGTTAACCAGTCCCAGTTCAAATCACCCAGTAGCACTATTTCCTTATAGTCTAGTTGTGATATAAGTTTTGCTAGTGAAGACAAGGAGTCCTTGACAGCTGAGGGGGGTCTGTAACACCCCACCACCATGACTTGTTGCCCCTTTGCCACTTCTATATTTAAGGCTAAACATTTGAATTGCTTACTGACAGATTTGGAAACCAATGTGGTTACACTGAACTTATTCTTAACATAAATGGCAACTCCACCACCTTTATTAGGCCGGTCGGTACGATACACATTATAGCCATTTAAGGATATGTCAGAGGCCAAAATAGATTTTTTTAGCCATGTTTCTGATAACACAATGACGTCAGCGTCAGTCGAGCTCGCCCAAATGCGGACAAAATCTAGTTTACCTAACAGACTGCGCACATTCAAGTGGATGAAACCCAACCCAGATCTAGCTTTAAAATCAGCAGGAGTAGCGATCTGACTACTACTACTGGGCGGACCAGGGTTAGGTTGAACATTTCCTGACAGTAATAACAACAAAAAAAACAGGCATCTTTTCCTCTTAATCGACACACACACATTGTCATCTACTTTAGAATCACCGGAAAAGTCTGCGAGAGTGTGATTAGAGTTTAAGAAGCAGTCCTGAAGAACCATCATCGCAGGCAAAAAAGAAAGACAAACATATTTTGTCGAGCAGATTGTCTGCGACAAGGCAACCGGTAACTGTTTGTGTAACACATCCGAACCTTTGCAGGGGATGTCCACTGCGGGTGGCAGAACAGACCTGAATCCAGTAGGCTTCTCAGGATGACTAGAGATCTTCTCATAGTCCAGAACAGTTAACAGGCACAGCAGAATCCCGATATGGGCCATCCTCCCAGACCAGCACACAGTATCCGCCATGTTCCTGGAGCAAATTAGCACAGCAGCAAAGGACAGGCGAAAGCAGCAGCGTGGAAGCGCTCCGGTCCCTCCATGGTATCCCCGGGGTGAAAGGTCTCCTCAGCAAAGCAGCACACGACACTGCAGCACACGACAGGTGGGAGCAGGCCTCCGCAACAGCAGAACCAGGACAGGTGGAAAGCAGGCCCCAGCCGCGGTAAAATCCTCCTCCGCACAGCAGCACACGCCCGGTGGAAGCAGGCCAAGCCCGAAGCGTGGAGCCACTCCGTCTCTCCGTGACGACTCCGGGGTAAAATCCTCCTCAGCACAGCCGTACTCTACAGGTGGGAGCAGGCCTCCGCAGATCGCAGACACCAGACAGGTGGAAAGCAGGCAGCAACAGGTGGAGCCGCAGTGTGTGAATGCCAGTGTTTTGGAGGATTGTTGAGAAGGCCTTAATCATTTTCAGTCTCTTTGAAACAAAGGCTTTGGAATGACTATATTCAGTCGGAAAAAAGGTTTTGTGAAATTGAAGTGAAATTGAGCAAAGCACAATCGGTCCCTGATCAGATCCTCTACAGGACGAGCGGTCCCACAAACTGCTGGCTCGAGAGATGGATTTACGCCTTTTTGTTGCGTAGAGCTGCAGGTGTCTCTCCGTCTGTGTCCATGAGCTGCGAGTAGATACCCAACTGGCAAATATGGAATGAGACCGAGTGTAGCTAAAGTGTTGCATTCGCCTGGAACCGTCATGTCAATAGAGCAAGACAAAGAGCTAAAAGGTCAACCAGTTTTGGTCCCGAGCTGAGCAGTACGAGTTGGGATCAAAGAGTCTTGAAGGTGCTGATGCAGCTGGAGACGTCTGCTGCTACTTAGAAATGATTTATTATTTATCTAACATATCATATTCCAATAACTGGCATTTAGACTCTTATTGCACTATTTCACTATTTCACTTTTTTAAACTATTTTTCTTTTTGTATTTACTATTTACCTGCACTATATTTGTCTGTTTATCTGTGTTATTGTGTTGCACTGTTGGTGGAGCCTGACCTAAGATGTTCATCGTCATAACTACACTGAAGCTATGTTCGTATGACAAATAAAAACCTTCAACAAACTTTTTTTTATTCTGGAATAATAATTGTGTTTACATTTTAATACGACTTTCTAAAGTTCTGTTGGATAAAATGTAGGATTTTACATTTACCTTAAAGGTAGGGTAGGTAAGTTTGAGAAACCGGCTCGAGATACACTTTTTGTTATATTCCATGGAATGCTCTTAACATCCCGATAGCAATGAATATCTGAAGTGCTTTGACAAAAAATCCATAAAAAAATATCATCTGTGGAAGCCGTAGTACTGTAAAAAGTACGACCAATCATTTTAGCCGGCCCGGCTAAAATAACTGGATGGCCTACCTGCCTGTCAGCCTTCCATCTGTGCACAAACTTATCTCGTGCCCTCATTGGTCATGTGCGCGTTCGTGTGTGTTGGAGGAGGGGCTCTGTAAGGAAGTGGCAGATTTTCTCCGGTCGTGTATTTTCAAATTCTAGCGATCTCGAGCCGGTTTCTCAAAAATTACCTACCCCACCTTTAAATCATGAATCATTTATCATTTATGAGCAAAGAACTGTAGTCATGGCTGTGTGTGTGTGTGTGTGTGTGTGTGTGTGTGTGTGTGTGTGTGTGTGTGTGTGTGTGTGTGTGTGTGTGTGTGTGTGTGTGTGTGTGTGTGTGTGTGTGTGTGTGTGTGTGTGTGTGTGTACCTTGGCCCATGTACTCTGTGACGATGTAGATGGGTTCCTCCGACACCACGGCGTAGAGCTGCACCAGCTTGTCGTGGCGCAGCTTCTTCATGATCTGAGCCTCCTCCAGGAAGGACTCGGGGGACATGGTGCCGGGCTTCAGGGTCTTCACCGCCACTTTAGTGGTGCCGTTCCACGTTCCTGCACACCACACATGCTGCCATCAATACAGGGGGACACATTCAAATCACACCAAGTCAGTCAGACAGACCCTGCTATCTCACTTGAGAAGAAGGTTGAGAGGTGACTGTAGTCTCATACAGGGAAAGGACGCGAGGTGAACGTGCTGTACAGAATGAGATCAGGAGACGGCACGAGAAGCAGCTCGTCGCTCATCCAGTGATGTAAAGTAACTGAGGACAGTTACTTAAGAACCGTACTTAAGTAACATTTGGATGGACTTGTACTTTAATCGAGTATTTATATTTTTTGCTACTTTGTACTTCTACTCCAATACAGTTCAGAGGTAAATGATGTACTTTTACTCCACTACATGTATTTAATACCTTTAGTTACTTTACAGATCTGGATGAATGATGTGAAATATAATCAAGTGTTAAATCAGACTTTAGTTCCACCTGGAGTAAATTCACAAGCTACCCTGCAGTATACAAAGTCATTCAAACTAGCTGCACCTTTACCAGCTTTGAGAACACTTTCATGATCAATCATTATAAAACATATCATATATATTATTCTGAAATGGACCAATCTACACAATCACTACTTTTACTTTTGGTACTCTAAGTATATTTAGATGTTCATACTTTTACTTGAGGAACATTTTGAATGCAGGACTTTTACTGTAACAGAGTATTCCTACACTCTGGTACTACTAATTTTACTCAAGTACAAGATCTGAGTACTTCTGCCACAGAGTTTGTTTCTGAAGGATAATCAAATGGATACGAGCTTAGGAGTGGACATTGATTTGTGAGTTTGGAAAATTGCACAATGTAAATCAATTCTAGTAGACCTCAACAATGGAATTATGATCAGTATAAATGGCCATGACATGGGACCTTTAAGATGGCTTTTAAAGCCAGGAGAGGGTATAGATAATCCTTCGTAGGACGATTAACAAAGGCCAGCCTGTCAGCCTCTCAGGCCAGTGACTGTAAGGCAGCGGCTGAGCCTCTGCTGTGTCAGGGCATGCACACTCACTGATCACTCAGTGGGCTCCATTCATCTCATTCTGTGCCAGGACTGCAAGACAGCATATTAGAGTGACCCCAAGGGAAGACATTCACTCTACGGAACGTGTGCATGCTTTGATATATAATGAAGTCCATAAATCACATATGGGGGGGGGGGGGGGGGGGTATCACCTTCTGTGAGGAGCCCTACACTGTTGAGCCGGAGTATGATAAGAATGCACAGCCTTGTGTTCTGACAATGGCCAATACTAGACTTCATTACCTAAACACGAGTAAATGATTTACATTTGAGGTAAATAAGTAAATAAATAGTGAGATTATTTAGTGCATTTTAAAAACCTTTGCATTCAAAAACAATTACTGTGAATTTGTAGTTTATTACTGGACAGTTTAAAACTCCACACTGCTCCTCTCCCTTCAGATACAGAGAGCCAGCTGACAGCGAGTTGAAACTTTTACTCACGATCAATGTTAGGAGCTCATTCCTGCAGGTAGCCCGGTCATTTATTCAGCTACTCCGAAAGTGTTTTTATATTCCTTTGTTTCCTTGATTTTATTATTTTTTTTAATCTATAATAATTGTAAACCTTTATTTAAACTTGACCATTTTGGAGTGTCGTACTGCACGTAAGGCTGTACTCAATTCATTACTGTATTTCCAAAGTCTTAGTTATGGATGATGTTTTACAAGAGACACTCAAACCTTGCAGGGGTGCTGGAGAGGAATGACATTACTGTTCCTTTCACTCCCAGGAGAAAACTCAATTGCAATTCTTGGCACATTACAGAGTGCAGGTAAAAGGATCAAAGAAAATCTTCACATTTATTCCCAGGGTGGCCCGGGGGGGGGTACCTTTTGGGGGGAGTTTTCTTACCGTAAAACACATCAGCAAAACATCCCGTGCCCAGCTTTATTTCCATCACAAGAGTGTCTCTGCTGATCTCCCAGGCATCATGACTCAAGCCCACAGTGTCAGGGATGTGGTTCACACACACGGCCGTTAAATTAAAGCACAAACCATCCGCACTCTCTACATGGGGAGGGAAGGGAAGGCACACAGGGTTAACTACTGGGGAGGGGAGCATGCAGAGAGGGACATGGAAGGGAGCCATCTTCAGACTGTGAAGCAGAGCCTCCTGACACACTGGATGTCTTTCATTTGGGAAGGGAGGGGTCAGAAACCAGAAGAATGTTCCTGGAAAAAGCCCCAAACAGAGAATTGTCTAAATGTTCTCCTTTGATCCCCTCCCTTAGAGGCCAGATTGTTGGCTTGTGTCTGGTGTCTCTGCTGGCTCAGTGTGGCCCCCTCCATGTGGCCTCTTCTTCCAGAGGCGATCCGTACCCATCCAGACCTCCCCAAACTGCCCGTTCCCAAGACGCTTGATGAGCTGCAGCGACTCCCGCGGGATCTCCCACACATCCTTAGTTTTAACGGACAGGTCTGCGAGGCGGGGCATCCCCTTGTGGCAGGGGACCACCAAGCGGCAGCAGAGCCCGGCAGCCCGGTCTGCACGGAGCACAGCGAGGCAACAGGAGGACAGAAAGAGACGTACAGAGAGTTAGCAGAGAGAGGGGGGGGGGGGGGGGGGGGGCTCAAAGCAACACTACAAACAGAAGTGAACAGGAAAGGTGAAAATCAGCCTGCCTCAGGGTCAGGCCTCCAGCAGGCATCAGTCTGACCTTTCAACACCTCAAAACGACACTAACAGGAGCTTATAACCTGGCGTCAGGGGGCTGTGTGTGTGCCCACAGGATGTTTTCATGATCTTGTGGATTTTGGGCTTGGACATGGACAAATGTCTGATGGGAAGCCTGCGTCACAAACTGGGAGCATGGACATCTGAAGTGAGCTAAGCATCCTTGAGTTGCATTTACAGGAACTAGGATCAGGCACTTTTGGATCGTTTGGATCATTTACTTTTGGACATGTTGAGGATGAATGTCATTCAATCATATCCACCTATAATCTTCTATTAGACTAATGTATGAAGGTGACCCTGATATGATGGTGTTTAATGAAATGTGCTGAAGCCTTCTCTCTTTGTGTTTGTGGATCATGGTATGCCTCACTTTGGTTCTTGTTCATGTCTAGCATCTGTAATGCCACACAGAACAGGCCAGGGGATATATGTGGCCACTTCAATAAAGCAGATGTAGCTTTGGTATTGTGTCTTATTGATAACTGGAAGTAAACAAATATAACTTTTCTCCCTTGAACTTGGTCTTTATGTAGTCTGAATGAATAAGCAGCAAAGTGCAGATGAAGCTGGAGAGCCTGAGCAGCAGTCTGGGAGTCGGTCACAGAAACAGCAAGGCTCTGTGGCTAATGCCATCTACGACTCACACACTTTACCATAATGGCAGTCATTTCTATAAAGGGAGAGTTTGAAATGTGCATGTAGAGTTGTGGTTAAACAAAAGGTGGAGCACGTGGGAGGCATTAAGGAGCGGCTTGTTGGCAGAGTGCAGCTCCAGATGCTCCATGTCCACCCTGGGCTGTGTGCTCCTCACTTTATCTGATGCGTACTGAACTGAAACAGCTTTGACTCTGGAGGAAGCGCTCATGTTTGCTTGTGATTGATTAAGCCAGTGGATTAGGGGAGAGTTTCCGTTTGTGCCTTCATGCTGATACCTAGTGAGACCACCCTCCCCTTTAATACTGCAGGGACAAAGTGACCCCCCCCCCTCCTGCCCCCGGGTTGTTTGCACGAGGCAGTAAAGACCAGATAAAGGCTGTCTCTCCTGTGGGGGGGGGTTCAACCTGCAACTCCACCATCAGAGTCCATCTGGCTGCTCACTCCGCTGAGTGTTCATCCTGCTGTCATAAAAGCTGTCACGATGTGGACCCTATCCTCACACCACAAATCAAAACAGCAGCTTTTTCCTAGAAAGGCGTGGCAGCTTCAAATATGAATTCTGTGCCCTCCGTTTTGACCTCATCCATTACTCACACACTGTTGGATTAGATTTGAAAGAAAGGATCTGTCAGCTGTGGCTCTTTGAGAGGGAGCAATTCTTTAACTTGCTTAACAAGATGTTGTCTTATATTCATTTAGTAGCCACGAGCTACACGTCACTAAGTGTGATCCACAGGAAGCCACTGTGCCTTTCACAATAAAACACTCATGGTAAGCCAAATCATTACTTTATACAAAAATGAGATAGTAAGTCAAATATGTTATCTTCATTCTGGAAACATCTTCGTTTCACATTTGATAACTTTGATTGAATAGTTCATAAAGAATAATTGAACGTTGCTATCTCAAAATAAGAACAATCTGGGGGGGGGACTGTTTTTCTCTTCTCAGACGTTACGTACTCTCACTTTAAATGTGATGTGCATTCAGATGGGCAGTGGACCCCCTCACCTGGGGTCTTTACACACATGAAGACAGAGGGAAGCGCAAAGCAATACAAGCACAAGCCCTGAAAAGAGTCACGGTTATTTGAAGACATGTCGTCAGCTCCATGTGCCGTCTGTAAAGGTGATGAATGAAGCGTGATGTAGAAGGTTAGGGATCATGTGACATGGGACAAACACACAGACAATCCATGGTGCTGCTTTTAGGGTAAATATCAATATGTCAATGGGCCAATCACAGCATGACAGGAAACATGTCCTTTCTCAGTGAGAAGACACAGAGGAAGAGGGGGATACAGAGTCAGAGGAAGAGGGGGATACAGAGTCAGAGGAAGAGGGGGATACAGAGTCAGAGGAAGAGGGGGATACAGAGTCAGAGGAAGAGGGGGATACACAGAGTCAGAGGAAGAGGGGGATACAGAGTCAGAGGAAGAGGGGGATACACAGAGTCAGAGGAAGAGGGGGATACAAAGTCAGAGGAAGAGGGGGATACACAGAGTCAGAGGAAGAGGGGGATACACAGAGTCAGAGGAAGAGGGGGATACAGAGTCAGAGGAAGAGGGGGATACACAGAGTCAGAGGAAGAGGGGGATACAGAGAGTCAGAGGAAGAGGGGGATACAGAGTCAGAGGAACAAAGGGAACACACTGAAGAAAGAGGAGACACACCGATAACATGAGGACAGCTGAAGACAATAACCCCCATCCCATCCTGTAAATATACATCTGGAATGTGTGTGTCAGGGAGTCAGAGTTTGCGTCTAGAGAACGAGATGCAAACTCTGACTCCCTTTGAAGAGCTGCCTTTCCGTTGGAACAAAGCAATCATTATGTTTCTGGTTCACTGCTCTAAGAACTGAAGCAACACATGACTTTGATTCATAATGAATAAAGAAGCGTGCACGGTAGAAGGTGGCAATAATGTGACATATCTTAGTTTTGCATTTCTTTCTGGTGCCTCATGGTAATAGCCATCTTTCATGGTGACCATGTGCTGGCAGAGCAGATGCAGCCACAGCGGCACGGTGTCTGCTTCATGCTTTCTGGATCAATTCAAGGAGAAGGACAGCGGACTTTGACGTTGCTGTTTGGACTGATACGGGGCCATTGTGCCAATGCTCCGTCTCCATCATAACTTAGGTCTCCATGGCAACATCTGTCTGTTTCCTCTCTTAAATGGAGTGTGGGCTATGTAATGCTTCATGTGCCACACTGCAGCCAGACCTCAGAGGATCCACACTGTATTCTCTCAGTGCTGCAGGTTAGAAGCTGCACAAGGCAATCACAAATATAGGCTTTGTGCTCAAAGGTAGGTTCTTGAAGTAAGTCAAATACATGAACCGGAATATGTCCTTGCAATAACCAGAATAAATACATTTATCAGAAAATATCCTTAAATAAAAAGGTAACACACTGAAATGAATCACAAAAAGTCATAAAACGAACTTGATTACAATAATACTAGTACTGTATTATGTGGTGTTGCTTAGTGAGAAGTGGTCAAATCAACACGGGGTTAGCGGCAGTGTGGATGTCTGACAGTGATGTACCTGAGTAGTGCTGCACCAGCTGCTGCAGAGTATCAAACTGAGCCCTGGTGGTGATGTAGTAACCGCCACTGTCCAGCTTTCGGATCTTATAATGCTTGACATGGTCCCCTTTCACATCGTCCCAGTCCCGTATGGACAGAGAGAAGGCACCTGGGGGACACACAGTTCATAGACTCAACATCAGGAACCTGACTCTGATTTCAATCAGGGAATGTCTGAGTGACGCAGGTTGATAGTGTCAGTGGGCTCACCCTTTGTGGTTTCACTCTCCCGGATCAGATAGGTTCCTCGAGGGTTGCCAGTGGACAGCAGCTGCCTCTCTGCATCCTTACGGCCCAATTTACCAAAGTACCAGCTGCAATGAGAAGAGAAACCATGGTAACCCAACAGCAGATTGATAAGAAGTAGAATTGACTGCAGGAACGTCCTCTTGCTCCAGTCTTAGTTTTGTTTAGTTCTCACATAAGGCAAGTTTAAGACTTTCATTGGGTCATTGTGGGATCCAGATAATCGTAGGAGATGTTTCCTGATAACTCATTAACAATCCCTGAATAAGGCCCCCACTGATCCAGGCACCATGTCAAACATCACAGCCCCATTTAGTCATGACAAGTTACATTGTCTCTTTCATTCAAAGAGCTCTGACAAGTTTTGGATTTTGAGTGCAATAAAAAGTGATCCCGAACACGGGAAATGTTATTGTGAATCACCCCAAGCATAGTGTCTTCTCCTTTGTAATCTTTAAAGCCAATATTTAGCATTTTGGCTGATACAAATGCTGATTACAATAGATCAGTGAAAGGCCAATATCAAGGAAGTAGACATACAATTTACTTGATACTAATTATCATTTATATGCTTGTATTTTACCACTAGATCTCAGCTGTAAATATTGCACTTTTCACTACACACACACACACACACACACACACACACACACACACACACACACACACACACACACACACACACACACACACACACACACACACACACACACACACACACACACACGCACACACACACACACACACACACACACACACATATATATGTGTATATGTATATATATGCACTACATATGTCTGACTTACTTTAGATTTGTTTTACCTTCAGCTTTAATGATAGAATACAAAGAGGGAACATTCTACTGCACCTTATGTTCGCTGATAATACTGTGACATAAGAAATGTTTTGAATTGTGGATTTTGACTTGTAGTAGAGTACTTATTATTACTGAACTATGGGATATTAATAATACTTCACCAACATAAAGCATGTGCTCTTTTTGTTTCAGTTGCTACAGCTGTTACATGCTGCTCTCATGTTCTCATTTAGCTTATGTCTGTCCTGCTCCAGAAGAACCACTGCCTGCTCTCGACTGCCTTCCAAAATGTCTTTCAGAGGATTCCTCTGACATAATCAGGATGTGTGATGTCACTATATTAACACATTCTAGTCTTTCACTTTTCTCTCGCTTCATTTGAAGTTTTGCCACACTCAATGTTATGCTCATTGTTACAGAACTTGTATTGTGTAAGTATTATTTTGGGTTAAGTTGACAAAGGCAATAATGGCTACATAATGCTGACTGTGCTCTTTGTCCTGTATTTATTTGTACTTTGAGAGATTTAACTTATAAAAATATGTGAAATAATGTGAAAGAGACTACTAGAAAATGAGGAGTCCTAATGGCAGGGATGTTTAACATTTGGAAATGTAAGTTAAGATGTGTATATCTTTGTCATTAGGCTCATGGAGAAACCCTTGTGTGATCAAAGAAGGAATGCAGACTGTTGATTGGACAGGAAGGCCCTCTGCCTCATGTGGCTGTGGTGGGGGAAACCATCGTCCTCCATGACCTCCAAGACGTGAGCAATGGGGGACATTGTGTTCGCTGCCAGTCTCTACCTTTAATCTCCTCAGGAGTTTTAGTTATGATTAAGACCACAGATTTATCTTTTTGTTGTCATATTTTTCACACTGTGGTCAAATAATATAACATTTCATCCCCAAATGTTAGTTTAATTGGCTTTTTAATTTATTTGTCCTTGAAATTACTTTCTTTCTACAGCCTCAATCTCAAATACCCCAGCAATATGAAGTACTCTTTCAAATCTTCAGAAAGTCAGCATCAAAGCGGACCAGTGCTGAGCAAGAATCCATAGGCTCAGAAATACACTGCTGAGATATGAGCTGTGTCGTTGGTACAGGGCAGGTCTTATCTGAACGCAGCTACTGACATCCTCAACACAAATGAATGCACATTTCAAGCCCTTACTGAGAGGACGCTGCTTGTTTGGAGTCTCCTGCATTGTTCTTATGTACATGTCCTATTGTCAGTTACAGTTTTGGAAGTATGTGGTAACCATTTTACAATGTTCCCTTTTCTTCCTATTCAGTAAATAGATTATGATGAAACTTTTAGAAAACTGGAACCAATGTGTAAACACTCAAATTCATTGATTTGAAGGCATTTGTAAGAATGTGCAACATTGCTATTGTTGATCTTATGATATTATCTGTGTTGTGAAGGCATGATTAATGTATAACATTGTTTGTATTAAATAAATGTTATATTTCTCAACATATGGCTGCAAGAATGTATTGTCATTAGAAATTATAAGTCAATATAACTAATACATCTGAGTAGAAACACATTTAAAGTTAAAATCCTCTTAAATTGAAATGGCAAGTTTTTACATGCAGAACTTGAAAATGTGAGTTATAATAATACCAAAATGTGAGTTATAATAATACCAACATGTGAGTTATAATAATACCAAAATGTGAGTTATAATAATACCAACATGTGAGTTATAATAATACCAAAATGTGAGTTATAATAATACCAACATGTGAGTTATAATAATACCAAAATGTGAGTTATAATAATACCAACATGTGAGTTATAATAATACCAACATGTGAGTTATAATAATACCAACATGTGAGTTATAATAATACCAACATGTGAGTTATAATAATACCAAAATGTGAGTTATAATAATACCAACATGTGAGTTATAATAATACCAAAATGTGAGTTATAATAATACCAAAATGTGAGTTATAATAATACCAACATGTGAGTTATAATAATACCAAAATGTGAGTTATAATAATACCAAAATGTGAGTTATAATAATACCAACATGTGAGTTATAATAATACCAACATGTGAGTTATAATAATACCAAAATGTGAGTTATAATAATACCAACATGTGAGTTATAATAATACCAAAATGTGAGTTATAATAATACCAAAATGTGAGTTATAATAATACCAAAATGTGAGTTATAATAATACCAAAATGTGAGTTATAATAATACCAACATGTGAGTTATAATAATACCAAAATGTGAGTTATAATAATACCAACATGTGAGTTATAATAATACCAAAATGTGAGTTATAATAATACCAACATGTGAGTTATAATAATACCAAAATGTGAGTTATAATAATACCAAAATGTGAGTTATAATAATACCAAAATGTGAGTTATAATAATACCAAAATGTGAGTTATAATAATACCAAAATGTGAGTTATAATAATACCAACATGTGAGTTTGTTTGACTAGGAAAATAAGGTTTACTTGCACTGATAACGTTTTTTACTTGGAGTTTAGAGTTCAATCAACTTAGACAACTTAAAAAACAATGTTGACACAACTAGAACTTTTAAGTCATATGAACTTGATGAACTTGAATCAATGAGTTAAAACAAAGAACAAGCTAATTACATCAACTTGAAGACAATCTTTGTTTTAACTTCAAGTTGATTTAATTAGCTTTTTCAAGGCAGCAGGTCTGACTGTGGCGTAAAAATCTTCAACTACCATTATTATAGCAGACATGTTTCTCAAGAAGCTGCGACTGAAAATACTGATAAGAAAGAAAGAGATCATAAAGAAGTGAAGGTTAAACTTTCTGAACCTTAACCTTCAAAGTTTCCCTGATGCGCTGAGACACAGGAAACGTGAGCAGTGTGACACCAAGGTGTATTTCACAGAGGAAGCTCCGTGTCGATTAGCTGCACCCACACCTTCACACTGCCTCAGAGTCAACTGAAGGAATCCTCATTCAAAACATTATAAAAAACCCATTATCATATGTGAGAGTGAAACTTAATGAAGGAGCATACGCATCTTAAAAAGTGACCCCAATAAAAACATCCCCCACCAACTTGGATGTAGTGACCTCCCAGCCAAAGTCTGTCTAAAAACTCCAGACCCTTCCCTTCAGTGCGGCAGAAATGCCTTTTCATCAGGCCAGGATGAACGCCCCCTGCAGGCAGAGGGGAACCTTCTGGATGACTGTGCCTCCTGAACCTGTTTCTGAACGGGGGCTGAGATGGCCGTCTGCAGCACGTTCTACATGAAGTCCTGGATCAGGGCACTGTGGCTCTCTGAGGAGCGTTCCAACAGACACACACACACAGACACAGACACAGACACAGACAGACAGACAGACAGACAGACAGACAGACAGACAGACAGACAGACAGACAGACAGACAGACAGACAGACAGACAGACAGACAGACAGACAGACAGACAGACAGACAGACAGACAGACAGACAGACAGACAGACAGACAGACAGACAGACAGGACAGACAGACAGACAGACAGACAGACAGACAGACAGACAGACAGACAGACAGACAGACAGACAGACAGACAGACAGACAGACAGACAGACAGACAGACAGACAGACAGACAGACAGACAGACAGACAGACAGACAGACAGACAGACAGACAGACAGACAGACAGACAGACAGACAGACACACACACACACACACACACACACACACACACACACACACACACACACCACACACACACACACACACACACACACACACACACACACACACACACGCACACACACACACGCACACACACTACTCACTCCTCAGCCTGGATGGAGTCCACTGGAGCCACGTAGTTACTGGGAATGTAGCCACTGCCCCCGCTGGTGAGCGAGCGAGCATCCCACCAGTCCCCTTCACTGAGAGAGAGAGAGAGAGAGAGAGAGAGAGGGGATAAGAGAGAGGAAAGAGAGAATGAACAGAAGAACAATAATACACTTTATTTGATCAGCAGACAAGATCAATGCCATTCAACCAATCAAATTCATGTCTTCAATTGACTTTCTCCCTGCTGCTGTGTAAAACAGAAAGAAAGAGCAGCTACCATCATGAACTGTAACTCCACATCTGAGCCGGCTCCATTTCCTTTATTTTAAAAGCTGGACAGACAGAATGTGAATAGGACAAATTGTGGTAGTAGGAGTTCTATGCTGTGACTGTTTCTAAACAGCTGGTCACAGAATTCTGCTTTAACAAGAGATATTTTACCTGCGTCTAAATCAACCAGGAACAACATGAGAAGTCATCTGAGGTGTTGTTGGTAGAAATATGTATCACTTTGGAGCGAGCCATGCTTCCAGTCTTTAGGCTAAGCTAAGCTAAAGCTGTCCTGACTGCAGCTCTGTGCTACATCAGCTCTCACACAAAGCACAGCAATATTTTCCAGTAAATAGTCAGATCTAGAAATTCTATGGGAGTTGAACGTTTTAGAGAATAGATGAATGGACAATATGAACTTAACAGGTGCTATTTAAGTTCAGTGGACTATTTCTATCTTTTTTGAATATTTAATTTGGCCAAAGGCTCGCTGTCCACATGCTAGGCTAGGTTAACCACACCCTGAATCCTAACAAAATGTGTTCTCCTATCACTATTGTTACAAAATATAGCTTAAGTGAAACACACTAACAATGTTTAATATTGTTGATAATGTTGTTTCAGCCTCTGCACTCCAGTGCTGATGTGTAAGGGTTGTGATACATGAACTGAAGTTGAGCTGCTTTTAAAAATGGGTGACAGCTTAATGTCTCAAAGGTGAAACAGGGTAGACCTCACAGCCGTGAGTGTCTCTCTGATGTCCCCGGTGTGTCTCTTCCTCACTAACCAGCAGCTCTCTCTGGGCCCATCCAGACCTCACATTGCCTCAGACTCTCTCAAATACTCGTCTTCCATCCATTCCACATTTCTCACTGTTCCCCCTTTTCATCCTTTCATATTTTCACACTGCATTCCAAAAGACCCTCACATCTCCATTTTAAAAGCAAATATTCAGTCTGTCAGCCTCACAAACATCAGATATATATGGAAGTACATCCATTATCTGCCACAATATGGATTATTGAGTTATTTAAAACAGGAAAAGGGTAATGAACTATGAGTCCTTATAATGTAAAGACCAGTAGCAGAACTTTTGTGAATTGAGTCATTTGCAGCTTAGAGGAAGACAACCTTCAAACAGATATGGTATTTCCGAACACTGTAAGTTGTGTCATCATTGAAAGTGAACTGTAGAGTGTTCCATGTGTCATCCATTTATGTGTTATCACAGTCCTACAAACATGTGTACTTGTCCTTTTCCCTCTCTTTATTTGCCCCCTCTCTTCTTCACATGCCTCAGTATCCAGCTGCCCTTAGGGACAGCTAGCAGTTGTGGTTACAAATCTTTACCAATGTTTACACATTAACGCACAATTACATCCCTGCTCTGACGTTTCTCTGTGACTCATTGTACCACCCTATGCTTGTTTCTATCACATCCCTGAGGCTCCAGGAGGGGGGGTCTTTGGGTGTATGACAGGGATGCTAAAAACAGAGGAGGATCCCTCAGGAGGGACCCATAACAACTGGCTTTCTTAACGAGAGAAAAGTATGCAGGAGTGAGAGAATGTGTTTGTTGAGTGAGATGTGTTGGTGGAGCCGAGACATAAACACAGGGGCGGGGCGGCCTCCGTCTGTCCCGCTGCCTCTTTTGTCTCCTCCTAAAAACAACTCTGCTCTGCCTCAAAAACACAGAGAGAAACAACCAGAGTAAACAGAGAGCCTCCCTCCTGTCTCCTCTCCCCCCACTGAATGCTGGGTAGAGAATCATTAAACACAGGACTGTGATGACTGACAGGAGGCACACTGTGTTTATTCACAGCCTGCAATCCCAACAATGACAATTTCATTTACAAACAGCACAGACTAAACTCAGGAGCTGTTTCCTGATTATGTCGCACAAAGCTTCACAATGCATGCGTGCAGCAGCTTATAATAGCCTGAGCTGAATTCAGGGCATTTCAAACATTAGGGATGGAGACCTGTTTCCTGGAGGGACCGCAGCCTCGTGGCTCTCTAGTGCCCCTGCATCACTCACTTCCTGCCAGCTCTGATGGGCTCTACCACCTGTGTCCAGCAGGGGGCAGTGTGGCCTGCTGGAAGAGGCAGTGAGGCCTGGGCAAGAGGTGGAAGTGAGAGAGAGAGGAAGGGAGAAGATGCAGCTATTTCTGAGCTGGAGAAGGAGGGACAGGAGGAGGAGGAGGAGGAGGAGGAGGAGGAGGAGGAGGAGGAGGAGGAGGAAGAGGAAGAGGAAGAGGAAGAGGAAGAGGAAGAGGAAGAGGAGGAAGTCTCTCTGCTGTAATGACAGTGTGTTCCTGCTGTGGCTGAGGCCCAGCGGGGGCTGAGGTGTGTGGAGGAATGTGCCGCTGGCTGGGACAGGAAGTAGACGGGTGTGGTGAGGAGGAAGACAGCCTGGCTGTGCCAAAGGTGATCGTGCAGCCATGCAGGGGGGGGGGTCATTTGAATTAAGCATGAACCTTTTTTATCTGCGACTCTGTACATTTGTGTGAAAGAGCAGTTTGTTGGAAAGCATCCATAGATCACTAAAAATCAACCCCAGCACCTTTCGTGCAGCATTACTGTAATTGCATTATTTGGACTAATATTAGAGCTGCATGCATCCATACAGCCAGGGGAGCATGTGCCCTTCATGTCTTTCTCCTCTCAGGCTGCATGGCTAACCTCATGTTTAGAAATACCTGACTCAATATTCCAAATCAATACAAATAGAATACAGACAGAAAATGAAAGAAAGCTGTGTTTTCTGTCTCATTTCTGATGAAGGCTTCCTGGATATAACGCATGCAAGAATTTCCTAGAATAAATATTGGCATTAGTTACAATTTATTGCGAGCAAACCATCAACTTACTTTCAGATGTTTTCATATGATTTAAAATCAAATCTTTGTACTGAATTTTTTGTGAAATCAAAATATATATGTTCACATTTCATGTATGCAGTTTACTTTTCAGTGCTATTTACTTTAAATATTATTTCCTAAAAATGCTGTTTTGTATCCTGATAGCCTTCTCCACAAACATGGCGTCCTACTTTTGTTTTTGCATACGTATTTTTTTTTTTTACATAATAAATCTGAAAATACTGAAATCAGCCAAAAACCAATACACCACTTTGAAATTGTAATTAACTCTTTCCAGGTTGCTAAAAAGTTTGGCCTCTATCATTCTCCCGATAATGAAACTGAAACACTTCATTTCCAGGAAAGCAGCTACTTTTACCTCTGCTGGAAAGCGATTATTCTCTCCCCCCCTCAGCAGCACCTCCCGTGCAGCAGAGAGATAAAATAAATGATAAATTGCTCTTATTGTCATTTCACAGTACAGGTACTATGTAACAAAATTGTTCCTCTGCATTTGACCCATCCTAGTGTTAGGAGCAGTGTGCTGCCGTGGACGGCGCCCGGGGAGCAGTGTAGGGAACGGTGCCTTTCTCAGGGACACCTCGGTAGCACTTGGTCTTGCCGGGACTCGAACTGGTAACCTTCCAGTTGCCAAGCCAAGTCCCTATGGACTTCGCCACCACCGCCCGAGATGAGCAGCTGCAGAGACTTACGTGCTGTTGATGATCTGGAAGCGTTCTCCTTTCCTGAAGCTGAGGTCGTCTTCTGACCGCGCCTCGTAGTCATAAAGTGCCACAAAGAGGGTGACTCCTGCAGGGGGGAGGAACACAGGGTCAGGGTCACTTTCGCAGGAGGAGGAAAAGCTCACAAAACGTGGACCTGAGGACATGTGCAGCAGTCTGAGGACATGTGCAGCAGTCTGAGGACATGTGCATCAGTCTGAGGACATGTGCATCAGTCTGAGGACATGTGGAGCAGTCTGAGGATATGTGGAGCAGTCTGAGGACATGTGGAGCAGTCTGAGGACATGTGGAGCAGTCTGAGGACATGTGGAGCAGTCTGAGGATATGTGGAGCAGTCTGAGGACATGTGGAGCAGTCTGAGGATATGTGGAGCAGTCTGAGGACATGTGGAGCAGTCTGAGGACATGTGGAGCAGTCTGAGGACATGTGGAGTAGTCTGAGGACATGTGGAGCAGTCTGAGGACATGTGGAGCAGTCTGAGGACATGTGGAGTAGTCTGAGGACATGTGGAGCAGTCTGAGGACATGTGGAGTAGTCTGAGGACATGTGGAGCAGTCTGAGGACATGTGGAGTAGTCTGAGGACATGTGGAGCAGTCTGAGGACATGTGCAGCAGTCTGAGGACATGTGGAGCAGTCTGAGGACATGTGCAGCAGTCTGAGGACATGTGGAGCAGTCTGAGGACATGTGGAGCAGTCTGAGGACATGTGGAGTAGTCTGAGGACATGTGGACATGTGGAGCAGTCTGAGGACATGTGGAGCAGTCTGAGGACATGTGGAGCAGTCTGAGGACATGTGGAGTAGTCTGAGGACATGTGGACATGTGGAGCAGTCTGAGGACATGTGGAGTAGTCTGAGGACATGTGGAGCAGTCTGAGGACATGTGGAGCAGTCTGAGGACATGTGGACATGTGGAGCAGTCTGAGGACATGTGGACATGTGGAGCAGTCTGAGGACATGTGGAGCAGTCTGAGGACATGTGGAGCAGTCTGAGGACATGTGGACATGTGGAGCAGTCTGAGGACATGTGGACATGTGGAGCAGTCTGAGGACATGTGGACATGTGGAGCAGTCTGAGGACATGTGCATCAGTCTGAGGACATGTGCATCAGTCTGAGGACATGTGGAGCAGTCTGAGGATATGTGGAGCAGTCTGAGGACATGTGGAGCAGTCTGAGGACATGTGGAGCAGTCTGAGGACATGTGGAGCAGTCTGAGGATATGTGGAGCAGTCTGAGGACATGTGGAGCAGTCTGAGGATATGTGGAGCAGTCTGAGGACATGTGGAGCAGTCTGAGGACATGTGGAGCAGTCTGAGGACATGTGGAGTAGTCTGAGGACATGTGGAGCAGTCTGAGAGACATGTGGAGCAGTTCTGAGGAATGTGGAGTAGTCTGAGGACATGTGGAGCCAGTCTGAGACATGTGGAGTAGTCTGAGGACATGATTCGGACTGTGAGCAGTCTGAGGACATGTGGAGTAGTCTGAGGACATGTGGAGCAGTCTGAGGACATGTGCAGCAGTCTGAGGACATGTGGAGCAGTCTGAGGACATGTGCAGCAGTCTGAGGACATGTGGAGCAGTCTGAGGACATGTGGAGCAGTCTGAGGACATGTGGAGTAGTCTGAGGACATGTGGACATGTGGAGCAGTCTGAGGACATGTGGAGCAGTCTGAGGACATGTGGAGCAGTCTGAGGACATGTGGAGTAGTCTGAGGACATGTGGACATGTGGAGCAGTCTGAGGACATGTGGAGTAGTCTGAGGACATGTGGAGCAGTCTGAGGACATGTGGAGCAGTCTGAGGACATGTGGACATGTGGAGCAGTCTGAGGACATGTGGACATGTGGAGCAGTCTGAGGACATGTGGACATGTGGAGCAGTCTGAGGACCATGTGGAGCAGTCTGAGGACATGTGGAGCAGTCTGAGGACATGTGGAGCAGTCTGAGGACATGTGGACATGTGGAGCAGTCTGAGGACATGTGGACATGTGGAGCAGTCTGAGGACATGTGGACATGTGGAGCAGTCTGAGGACATGTGGACATGTGGAGCAGTCTGAGGACATGTGGACATGTGGAGCAGTCTGAGGACATGTGGAGCAGTCTGAGGACATGTGGACTTCAGAGGGAACTCATCAGATTTGACATGTGATAATAAACCAATGGAATGGAAGCTGGCCACATAGAAAGGGTTTCACAACGATTCAACTCTAGTGCGTTCAACTACTCATGTTTCTGCATAAAACAATGGCCAAGCTAGCAGCAGGGCTTTATGGACAGCAATGTGGGTCAATCCATTACTGTATCTCAACTCTATAGTGTAGTCTCCAGCTCATAGAGTCCTGTAGTGAACCCAGAAATGTTGAGTTCCCCAAAGTGTTATGTTAGAAATGTATAGTAGTAGTACTTGTGTTATTGTCAGACAATACATTTTACAAACAAGTTACATTAAATCCCACTAAAGTCTTCAGTCTTGTAGCGCTCTAAGCCTTTGCCACTGCAGCGGTCCTGTGCCTTTCCTCAGCCTTACACTCCTCAGGCTCACTGTACATCTTTACAGACCACAGCAGGAGGTTCACAATACAAATACAATGCTGAGTTGAATACAAAGTGTTCAACTACCCTCTCTGATGAGGTGCATAAAACATAGACAACAGAGGAAACACTTGAGGAACATATTATAAGCAAACTCATAGGATCCTCAGGGCCAAACTCATAGAATCCTCAGGGCCAAACTCATAGGATCCTAAGGGCCAAACTCATAGGATCCTCAGGGCCAAACTCATAAAAAGATTAATCATTTCAATCAATCAATCAAAGTTTATTTATATAGCCCAATATCACACTTATTGTCTCAGTGGGTTTACAGTTTGTAAAGAATATGAATACGACACCCTCTGTCCTTGGACCCTCACATCGGATAAGGAAACACTCCCATAGAAACCCCCCAGTTAATGAGAGAAACCCCCCAGTTAATGAGAGAAACCCCTCAGTTAATGAGAGAAACCCCTCAGTTAATGAGAGAAACCCCTCAGTTAATGAGAATAAGAGAAACCCCCAGTTAATGAGAGAAACCCCTCAGTTAATGAGAGAAACCCCTCAGTTAATGAGAGAAACCCCTCAGTTAATGAGAGAAACCCCTCAGTTAATGAGAATAAGAGAAACCCCCAGTTAATGAGAGAAACCCCTCAGTTAATGAGAGAAACCCCTCAGTTAATGAGAATGAGAGAAACCCCTCAGTTAATGAGAATAAGAGAAACCCCCAGTTAATGAGAGAAACCCCCAGTTAATGAGAGAAACCCCTCAGTTAATGAGAATAAGAGAAACCCCCAGTTAATGAGAGAAACCCCTCAGTTAATGAGAGAGACCCCCAGTTAATGAGAGAAACCCCTCAGTTAATGAGAGAAAGCCCAGTTAATGAGAGAAACCCCTCAGTTAATGAGAATGAGAGAAACCCCTCAGTTAATGAGAGAAACCCCTCAGTTAATGAGAATGAGAGAAACCCCTCAGTTAATGAGAGAAACCCCCAGTTAATGAGAGAAACCCCCAGTTAATGAGCATGAGAGAAACCCCCAGTTAATGAGAGAAACCCCCAGTTAATGAGAGAAACCCCCAGTTAATGAGAGAAACCCCCAGTTAATGAGAATGAGAGAAACCCCCAGTTAATGAGAGAAACCCCTCAGTTAATGAGAGAAACCCCTCAGTTAATGAGAGAAACCCCTCAGTTAATGAGAATAAGAGAAACCCCCAGTTAATGAGAGAAACCCCCAGTTAATGAGAGAAACCCCCAGTTAATGAGAGAAACCCCTCAGTTAATGAGAGAAACCCCTCAGTTAATGAGTGAGAGAAACCCCCAGTTAATGAGAGAAACCCCCAGTTAATGAGAGAAACCCCCAGTTAATGAGAGAAACCCCCAGTTAATCAGAGAACCCCCCAATTAATGAGAGAAACCCCCAGTTAATGAGAGAAACCCCTCAGTTAATGAGAGAAACCCCCAGTTAATGAGAGAAACCCCTCAGTTAATGACAGAAACCCCCAGTTAATGAGAGAAACCCCCAGTTAATGAGAGAAACCCCCAGTTAATGAGAGAAACCCCTCAGTTAATGAGAGAAACCCCCAGTTAATGAGAAAAAACCCTCAGTTAATGAGAGAAACCCCCAGTTAATGACAGAAACCCCCAGTTAATGGGGAAAAATGGAAGAAACCTCAGGGAGAGCAACAGAGGAGGGATCCCTCTCCCAGGACGGACAGACGTGCAATAGATATTGTGTGTAAATTAAAAAGAGAATACATTTACAACATAGGTAGTCCCAACGCTTGAAAATGCATGTGTAAGAAGAAGATGGATCCAGGTGGATGTCAACAACCCTGTGGGAGCCATCATCTATTTTTCTTCTAATAGCTTTATATCAGTTGAGGACTCTATTTGTGAATGAACTCTCAAGGCTGCGTGCTCAGCCCTCTCCTCTACTCCCTGTTCACACACGATTGCGTGGCCACACACAGCTCCAACACCATCGTGAAGTTTGCTGACGACACGACCGTCATCGGCCAGATCACAGACGGCGACGAGACGGCGTACAGAGAGGAGGTCAGAACCCTGACATCTTGGTGCCAGGATAACAACCTCCATCTCAACGTCAGCAAAACCAAGGAGCTGATTGTGGATTACAGGAAGCAGAAGGGAGAGGGTAGTCAATGGGACTATGATAGAGAGAGTCAGCAGCTTCAGGTTCCTCGGTGTCCACATCACTGAGGACCTGACATGGACTCTTCACTGAGGACCTGACATGGACTCTTCACACCACCACCATCACCAAAACAGCTCGACAGCAGCTCTTCTTCCTCCGCAGGCTGAGGAGGTTCAACATGGACTCCAGGATACTCTGCAACTTCTACAGGTGCACCATAGAGAGGATCCTGACCTTCTACAGGTGCACCATAGAGAGGATCCTGACCTTCTACAGGTGCACCATAGAGAGGATCCTGACCTTCTACAGGTGCACCATAGAGAGGATCCTGACCTTCTACAAGGGCACCATAGAGAGGACCCTGACCTTCTACAGGT